CATGTAGTTTATAGAATACTAGAAGTAGTGGTTGTTTGGTTGATTCAATGATTCATGATGATCATCATCATCATCATCATCATGGAACTTTTTTTTGGAAACGAACCGCAGTTTTTTTTTGTTGATTATATTTTCTCACCGTTACCGTTTTTATATTTCATTTAATTCAGGGCATCAAGCTGCTGCCGCTTCGGCTTGTTATTGTGCTTGTACAAGAATTACAAGGTGTGTATGTATGAATGTATGCGCAATTGCCAATTCCAAAAAAAAAAATTATACAAATCAAAATTCTTCATCATCATCATTGACTGTGTATGGTGGTTGTTATTGTTATTATTGTGTGTGTGTGTGTGTGTGTGTGTGTGTATGTATCGTGATCGTGTCTTCTTCCAAATAGAATCCCAATTTGGTTTATTCATTGGTGGTGGTGGTGGTGGTGTGTGTTTGTTTGTTTGTTTGTCTGTTTATTATTTAGTTGACGATTCATTGTGTGTGTGTGTATGTGTGATTTGAATTGAAATTTTTCATTTGAATCGGTTCCTTTTTTTTATTACTTTGATTTTGATTTTTATACACTTTTACATTTCAACAGAGAGAATCGACAAAATCTTACACGCCATCATTAAGTTTGTTTTTTTTTTCGATGATCGATTTTTTTTCAAAAAAAAAATCATTATTCGGAATCTTCGGAATTGAAAAACAAAACAAATTGAATAATTGATCGATCAATTTATTTATCGTATTCATATCAATGGTTATTTGGTGATTCGATCATCATCATCATCATACAGAAATGGCCAATATTTTATGAACAATAAAAAAATATTAGTTGAAATCATCAATAACGGTAAGTTTTTCTCATATGTATTGAACTGGTTTCAAGTTCATAATCATTAGCGTTTCGTATAGCAAAAAAAAAAGAAGAAGAAGAATTGAGATTTAGCAAGCGATTATTTTTTTTCTTGTTACAAAATGAAAAAAAAGAGATATAATGAGTTCCATCGAGAGCGAATTTATTTATCTTAAGTCTTAGCGATCATCATCATTATTATTATTATTTATACAAAGTTGTTGTTCAAAAAATGTCAATACTTATTTCCAGGGCCGGCCGAGGCGCCTGTGCAGACTGTGCACCGCACAAGGCCTCGCGCTGCCTTCGCCCTTTCCGCTGTACAACACAGGGCCTCGCGGCTCCAACTTTTCAAGCTATTTTTGCACAAGGCCTCGCGATTTTCTCGGCCGGCCCTGCTTATTTCCAATACTAACCACCATATATTGTGATACGGTTATTTTTATTTTCATCATTTTTTTTCGTAGATACCTTCAATTATAATTGGACAATTTTGAAAGAACCAAACTCACATTCAGTCAATTTATTTATTTTTTTGATTATTTTGAAGTTGTTTTTTTTTGTCAAGATAGAGATACATAGTATCCTGAAATCAAAGAATCTTATCTCGATTCGATAAATTTCTTATATTTTCTCTTTTGCAATCATCAATTGATGAGAAAAAATAATGAAAATAAATAATTCCATGATGAAATATGTATTCTGTGTGTTTCTCTAATGGACATAGACACACACACAAAAAAAATGAGAAGAATAAAAATGCTCAATTGGAAAATCCATTCAACAAATTGACAAGCTTTTATATCATCGATAGAATCCAAGAACTTTTCCAAGAAAACTTGTTCCAAGAATTACTATATTTAAAAAAATTAAACCTTTTTTCCAAAGAAATGTTTCATGTTATGCGAATTAACATTAAATATTAAATGTTTTTTCGACTAAAAATTTAGTAACTAAATAAAAAAGATTTTAAAAGTAGGCATAATGTTGATGATTCTGAGCAAAAAAAAAAAAATTCTGATTAAAGCAACTTTGTCGGTAATACCTGCAAATGATGATGCTACTGTATTTGTACACATCTACTTATCCTGTTAAATCAAATGGAAATTTATCCACACACACATAAAAAACCAATCAAATAGAATGTAACATGTTTGCAAAAATAGAAAGCGGAAGAAATTGTTATCAAACTAAAGAATCAATCAAACTGACATCAAAAAAAAGGTTGTTGAGTAAACAAAAATTTTTTCGAAAAATTCTTGAAAAAAATGAGAACTTAAAATTGCCTTATGTATAGCAAAAAAAAAAAAAAGACAAATGATATGAAATGTCGATAATTCCTTGTTGACCATGTGTGTGAGAATTTTTTTTGTTTATTTGTTTGTTAGTTCTTGTTTCTCGTTTCTTACACTGGCTGACCCACACACACACACACACACACACACACAAATAATGAAACAAAAAACAGTGGAATTCTACTCCTTAGAAAGTTTTTCTTTTGCTTTATATTCATTATTCACTAAAAATATGCCAGAATAATTCTTGCACACATTATTTATCTCTGAATAATATACGGAAACAGTAAACTTTTCTCTATTCTGTTTTTCTGTTCATTTTAGAGAATCAAAAAAAAACAATGTTTTTTCGGCCATTACAACAACATTACATTAAATTCAGATAGTTACGAAATCTCGGAAAAACAATAAGCGATAACGATTGAATGAAAAAAAAAGATTAACCTGAAATAAATTCTGAGAAGAAACCGGTATTTAATAAATTCTTTTCTATCATATAATAATAATAACAATAATAATTATAGACTCATTTCAGGTGATTTTTTTTCATCGGTCACACAAATTATACCGCCCACATTATCATTAACACTCGTAGAATAATAATAATTACAGAAATCGTGAAATGTTGAGTGAAGTTTTTTTCTCTCATTACACCAACTACAATAGAAGAAAGGATAACACTGTTTTTCATTGTAATTTTCCACTTGAAAATTGGAAAATGATAATTTCCGGTTTTTCTAAACAATTTTTTGTTCATCGGTTTCCGGTATGTATAATCGGATTTGGTGTTTTGTTTTTTTTGGCCCAAATGTTTTATTTTTTTTATTCTTGTGGTTACCGAATCAACTTGTAAATCACGTTCCAATGGATTAACATTGATTAATTATGTGTGTGGATTCATTTTCAATCAATTTTGATGATTTTAGAAAACAAAGCAAAGAAGAATTTTTATTTTTCTCTATTCTTTCCATTTATTGTTTTTGTTTTTTTTCCATTAGAATACATTTGCTCATCATCGATGAATAATAATCGATAATCTTGTGTTGATTTAATTCAATATTCTATGTGACGTGACTGAAACTATTTTGTAGTACAAAAAAAATGAAGAAAATGTAGAAATTGTATCCAAAATTTGATTAACAATTTCAGCTTGATAATGTTCAAGTTTGATTTTAATTCTGTTAAAATCTATCAACCATAGCTGAATAATGAGATGTAAAAAATTATTATTTATCATTCAACCAAATAAGATTTTTGTGAAGAATCAAGAATTTTAATACCTGATTTTGGTGGATATTTTTTTATCATCACCAAAAAAGATTTGCTATAGCACAAAGAATATTTCTAAAAAATTCTACAAAAACTAATTGCATGATGATGATGAAACCAACCATAAAATCAAAAAAAAAAAAAAAAAAAAAAAAAACACTGAAAATTGTACTAAACAAGTGCATTGAATAGAATTGAATTGAATAAACAAACAGTCTTTTTATTATTTTGAGTTAAATCCACAGACACACACACGGTTTTTCTTGAATATTCTTTTCAACAGTTCCAATATATATATTTTTTTTATTTTTATTCTCATGCTATCATCATTATTTTTATATTCTTATTGTTACTTTTTGTGTGTTTACATTTTCCAGTCTATTGTGTGTGTGTGTGTGTGTGTGTGTGTGTTCCAGAGAGTGCTCCCAACCATGATTCTTTTGACGTAAGAGTCGGTTTTTCTGTTTTACTGTTTTTTTTTTTTTTTTTTTTAGTCACAATTTTATTATTATCATCATTATTATTATTGCCATTTCTGTTTCTTTTTCTCTATTTTTGACGTTATCATTATTCCTGTTTCTTATTATGAAAATGATATGTTGCATTTTCTTTTGTTTGTTTATTTATTCTGGTTATTATTACCATTCTAGCTGCAAAACGCTAGTGTTTTTTTTGTTTTTGCTTTTGGTTTGAAGATTCTGAATTGAATTTTTTTTTTTTTTTTTTTGGTTTAATTTGATGAAAAAACCTGAAATTTGACTCTACTTTTTGATCCAAATATTATGTGAACTATATTTTCATCCGTTTTTTGTGTCTATTTGTTTGTTTTTTGTTTTGTTAATCGATTTGTTTATGATGATAAATGATTGATTATTTTTTCATTTCATTTCATTTTTTTTTTTTTTTTTGCTACGAATCATCGATATTTCCGAACCGATTGTGTGCAGAGCAAAATTTTATTGAAAAAAAAACAGAATAAAAATAAATGAATTCTCGGATTTAATAATAATCGGAAATTCATTCATCAACGTCATCAATTGCCGTCATTGTGTATGTTTGTGTGTAGGTCAACAATTAATGTGTTTGTGTGAGTGCGAGTAGGTGTGATAAAATCCCAATAATAAAAAAAACGAATTTTCATTATCCAACGGCCATATTCATCAGCATATTCATCAGCATAATCGTCAACAACAACATGTTGCAACTATGAATGATGCTCTAATTACCAAAACAAATACAACAGCTACCGCCTCTTCCTTTAACTCCAATATTACCACGACAACAACCACCACCACCACTACATCTTTCTTTTCTTTCTCCTCATCTGTCAATAATAATAATAATAATAATAATAATAATAATAATAAGAAAATTATGTACGGTGATAGCCATAATCATCATGAAGATGTATGTCGTCAGATGGCATCAACATTAGTAGATACATTAATGGCTAAAGCGATTGTAAAAGCAAGTCAAAAATTAGCATTCATAACACAAACAAATCATAATGATGATAATCAGATTTTAAAATCATCCAATCATCATCATCATCATCATTATAATCGAAATGACGAAAATTCATGTGATGATCAAATGATGACCAATTTTAATGATAATAAACATCCATCGACAACAACAACAACAACAACAACGGCAACACCAAGACCATTACCATTACAGATAATGAATAAAAAACCACCTGATAATACTATTACAACAAAAAATCAAACAAATAATCAATCAGGTCAGAATAGATCTGATTTCTGGACTGAAACAACAATAACAACAACAACAGGAAAGAAAAATATCGATTTTAATGAGGTAAGGTGTTTTGTCTGTTTGATTTTATTTGATTTTTTTTATTTTATTTCCTTGATGATTTTCTTTACCAAAAAACTTTTTCTTTTTTCACCATTTTTATTGTGGATGATGATGATGATTAAATTACAACTTTCAAATTCAAATTCAAACACACACAATACACACACACACTCATATCATATTTGATTGCATTTTTAATGATTTGAACAAAAAAAATTCTTTTATATTTTCTCAGAAAATTTTTCTGTCACATTCACTCTCTCTTTAGATTCTTTGGAATTTCTAATTTTTTTTTCATAAATTTCTCATGTTCGTTATTTTCTTTTTTTTTGTGAAACAATAACAAAACAAAACAAAAAAAATTTCGCTTTCTTTCAAACGAATCCAAAAAAAAAAATCCAACATTATTAACCATAATAATAAAATGATGATGATGATGATGATGAAAATGGTTGTAATCATCATCATTATATTAGAATGACATTTTTTTTTCTTCATCAAATCGAAAAATAGTTTGGTTGCTGGGCAACAACACATCAATGTTGTGTGTGTGTGTGTGTGTATTTGTGTGACATGATAATTAAACATCATCATCATCATCATCATCAACGATGTTTTAGTTTATATAACAAAATTTCGATGGTACCAAAAAAAAAAATGAAAAGATGATGAAAACAGGAAATTCAATAGAAAAAAACAAGAAAAAATTCACCAAAAACTGAAATATATGTTTTGTATATATGTAATAAACAATTTAGCAAACATACACACACACACAATATAAATGAGTATATATTTTTTCATTTATGCATTTATTTTTTTTTTTTGTAAAAAAAGTGCTTATCACACAACAACAGGAACAGGATCATAAAAAAACGTTATTTATGAAAGGACGTGGAATTTTGATGGGGAATTTATTTTTTTGTTTTTGTTTGTTTTTCGAGTTATTTTTATTCCCATAGAAACTTTTAAAATATGGGCGAACGAATAAAAAGATGCGAATTTTTTTCCGATTTATCGAAATGGAAAGATCAATTTGAAAAGAAAATTTTAAATTTCAAAACTTTATTTTGGATTATTATCATCATCATCATCAACGCGAAATGTAAAAACAGATGTTTGTTTGTTTTTTTAATAAGCTATTTATTTTTTAATTTTCTGTTCTTGTCAAGTTTCTTTTTCAATGATGATGATGATGATAACCAAATAGAAAAAAAACACGATGAAAACCACATAACAAAATGAAAACAATCGACGAGTGAATAATGGTTTTTGTGTATGTTACTAAAATAAATTCTGAAAAAATTCTGTGTGCGCACTTAGTGATGAACTTGCAAAACTTTTTTCCGGCTCCATTACTGTAGTTTCATTTTCACTTTTTTTTAATCTTTTTTTTCTCCAAGTTAGTAAAATTAGTGTAGATTTTTTATTATTTTTTTTTTCTTTATACTTGATAGATTGATTCCCATTTTCATTCTATCCATTCATTCAATTTGATCGATCGAAAATATTTGCCGGACCATTTTTTTCTTAAACATTTACACAGTACGACGAACAACGATGGAAAAAAATTTCCAAATTGTCACGTAAAATGTGTGTGTGGGGAAGAATCAATGAAAAGAATTAAAAAAAAAAATTCTCGATTCTATTCCAAACATTTGATGATGATAATGATGTGACATTTTCGGGGAATAAATTATAGCAATTTTTCTTTCATTCATTTGATGTATTTACGTAATGAAAATTGATTCATTTTCTAACTACAAACTGTTATTATTATTATTATTGGTTATTCTATGGCTTCTAATAGTAAGTAAAATGTATTCTAACATCACATTAACCTTACCACTGTCTATAAATGGACATTTTTTCAAATCGGAAATTTCTATTTTGAAAATTATTACATTGGTTATTTATTTTCTGATGACAATATTGATGATTATAGTATGGCGAAAATATAATTGATTTCTGGAAATTTTTTTTTTTGCTTGAAAATATCACATGACACATGCAATGATTATCATTCGTTGTTCGATCGATTTATACACACACAAACACACATATTAATACATACATAATGTCTATGTGTATGTATGTGGAACGTGATTTGAATTTTGTTGATTCTAATATATTCTAAAGATCGATTCTTATACGGTCATCAGAATTTTTTTTCCACTTTCTTCTTCCTGGTGATAATGATTAGCATGTTGTTGTTGTTTTTTTTTAAATTTTTGTTTCTGGTCTTGACATTTGAATTTTTTTTTTGTTTTGTTTTTTTTTTGATTGATCGATTTTTTTTCTCACTCTCTCTCTCTATCTTTTGTTTTTTTTTCTCTCTCTCTCAAACACATGTTTATATATTTGCAAATCACAGAACACGCCGGAAATACAGATCGATCTGGCTGGTCCACGTACACCAAGTCCTGTAGAAGAAACGAGCTTTGAATTACCACCACCACAGAAAAGAAAATATAAATTTAAAGTTAAAACAAATGATGATTCACAAGATGAACAAAACAAACAAACAATGACAGGTAGTAGTAGTCCAGATTATGATGACGATGATGATTATTATTATTATGAAGATGATCAGGATATCAATCAATTTTCCGATAATAATATTTATGAACAGCAACGACAACAAAAACAATCATTGAAAAAAACGATACAATTCATCGATGATGATGATAATAATAATAATAATAATAATAGAAATGACCAAAAACGATCGATTGTGATGATCAATGATGATGATGGTGATCATCATAATAAAAATAAGACTGAAAAAACGTTCAATAATAATGAAAATATCGATAGCAATAATAATAATAATAATCAAACAACAGCAATAAAATCGATAAAAATTGTTGAAACCACAAAACAACAGAAACAGCAACAACAAAATAGAATTGAACAGAAAATAATGATGGCAAATAGTGCACAAATGATTGAACATCAAGTGGATTGTGCTACAACACCTGAATCGGTAAATATGAAAATATTTTTATTTTTTTTTCACTAGAAAAAACAAAATTTGCTAGATTTTGTTACGAAAGAAAAAATGGAAAATTAATTTTTTTTATTCTTTTTTTCATCATCATCATCATCATTTTATTCAAGGAAATGGATCTGGAACAAGCACAAGAATTATCGAAACATATCGTATCGGATATCATTAATCAAGCTGTCAGACGTTTAAATGATGATATTAAAAATAATAAACATTTAAAACGTGAGTATTTTCTGTTGTTGTTGTTGTTCCATCATACAGAATTTAGTTATGCTAGACCCTAATTTTATAGAAGCATGTTTTTTTTTGTTTGTTTAGGAAAATAAATTTTAATTTCAAAATCCATTGAATCATTAATAATAATGATCGAACAACAACAACAACAACAATAGAGACCAAACCTGATTTATTATGCATGCAGAAATAATTGCCCATTATAAAAAAAAATAATAAATTCTGTTTGGTACATCTGATAATAATTTTTTTTGTCTTTTTTTCTCTTCCCATTTTGACCTCGTTTATTTTTGCGAAATTCTTGTTATGAAATTTTCAAAATCAGATGAACCGGAATCAATATCAAAATTATCAACATATAGTCAACGTTCAATGGTACAGAATAATTGTTCATGGTTAACACGTACTAGGAATGCAATACGTCGTATTGTAAGACATGCATGTATCTGTACACGAACAAAAGATGATAATCAAACATTTAATAAAACACACCATCATTGTACAGCAACATCCATATCACATCATCATCATCATCATTGTACACATCATAATCAACAACAACAACAACTGGAAAATCAATCTTCACAGCAACATTAATAAATAACGATAATGATTTATTGAAATGTTTGAAAAGAAAATTATTTATCAAATAACACACATATACACAAAAAAAAGATTGATAAAATAAATTCATTTTATTGAATCTTCAAGAATTTTCATGTCTAAATAGATCAAATATGTGTTATTTTCGATTGCGATTGCATTTAACAGACATGTTTGACATTATCAACGAATCTTCTTGAGAATATTTATTCTTTTAAATAACAATAATAACAAAAGAAAACTGTCAACAACATACACACACACACACAAACATTCAAACATTTTTGAAGGCAAAACATAAACAAGACAACTAAATTGATTTTGTTGTTGTTGGTGTCACCAAGTTTGATTTTTTTTTCTTGAATTTTGACAATTTTCTTTTTGTTCGTTATTCGTTGATCACCATCATCATCATCGTCGTCGTCATCGTTATTATTTGTTTCATTGATGCCGAGATCAATGAATGAATTTTGTTTTTGTTTTTGTTTTGTTTTTTTTTTTTTTTTTTTTTTTCCTATTTCAACAACAATTTGAAACCTCCTATTATCTACAATTCAATCCTACATTTGAAAATGAAGAATTTTCCTAAAAAAATCCACAGTGCCAACCTTATCTCAACAACATTTTTTTTTATTATTTTTCCAAGAATTTATTTCACCTCTTCTCCACCCACCTCTTCTTTCTTTCAATTTCATCTCTTTCAAACTCAAGTGTTTTTCATTCAATTGTTTTATTAATCAAGAAAAGCAACACCATCATCATCTTGAAATTGTTAAATCCATCCAACCATCCATTCATTTATCTATACAAATTGATTTTCCTTTTTCACAAAAAATTTTTTTTTTTAAACTTGACAAATTGACAGATGACACTTTACAGATATGAAAATGGCAAAATAATGAAAAAAAAAGAAGAATAAAATGGAAAACATTAAAAATGAAGTAAAATAAAACAATTTTAATCCGATCAAATTTCATTCGATATTTCTATTTTTGTTTGAAAATTATTATTGAAATTATTTGAATCAAGAATATTCCGCACACACACACACACACAAGCACACAAACCTACATTTATATCTAAAATTTTGAAAAACATTATAAAATCAAAATGATAGCCGAAAAAGCAAAAAAAAGAAGGAAAAAAGAATTATCATTTTTACGTGAATATTTTCCATAATTTTTTTTCTCTAATACCATTCTTATGGCCCCATAATTTCGTTGGAATCACCATAGATATCACGAATCATTGGTTCATTTTATTTTATTATTATTCTGATTATAATAATGCACGATCATCATGTATTTAATGGATTATTGTGGGCAATAAATTATTAGGAATTCTACAATACAATGAGCTATAACACAATAAGCAAGTGAATGTTTAAATGTGAAATTTCAAAATTTGAATATAATAAATGATTATTATTATTATTGAATAAATGAATGAATTGGATTTGTTTTGACAAACCAGAAAAACAAAACAAAACAAAACAGAAAAAGAAAAGAAAATGCATATGTTCAATGTTGACATTTTCAAATTCAAGTGTTTTTATTCACAGATTTTTTTTTTACTTATACGGAATTCAACATGTTCAAAGTTTGTTGAATTTTTTACAAAAAAAAAAAAAAAAATATTCATCATATAAAAACTAAAAGTGAGAAAAGAAAACCAGGTAAACATTGGAATAAAAGCGAAAAAAAACAGCATCATCACTACCATCGACAAATTCTTTTGTAAAAAAAAAATTTGAGAATTTCATCATCATCATATATGATGAGGAAAAATTACCCAACCAACCTATTTACACCTACATATATCATTCTATTATTCTATTTGGTATTTATTTATTTATTTTTTTTTGTTCTCTGTGTACCTTGTATGTATTGAATATTTTGAATTTTATTTCATTCACAATCATTCTATTCAACTTTTCATCCTTTTATATCATAAGATTCATTTCCCATTCAATTTTTTGGGCAAATAGAAGAAGAAGAAGCCATAAAAGAAAAATTAATGTTAATGTTAACATTATTGACATTAATGTGTCTTGTATTCAAATATTTCGGGGCAGAATAAAATAAATTTCATGTTAAAAATGCTAAATTGAATTAGAAATTAAGAATTTACGAATTACATGGATTTTTTTCCACTATGAACATTGACAAGTACGGATGTTACCGTGATTGAAATTTTACCAATATTCGATGTAAGTGGATGGCAATTAATAATTGATTTTTTTCTTATTTTCATCTGGTCATTTTGATTTCAATTTATATGGACATCATCATCATCATCATCATCATGAGAATTTGGAAGAGAAAATGTTTCAAAGAAAATGATATGATCATAATATGTTTTTTTTTTGTTTGTTTGTTGTCGTCGTCGTCGTTTTCTTCGGAAAATATGAAATATTCATAAATTTATCAATATAATGGTGTAACAAGAAAGAAAATCCCGAAAGAGATCTTTGGGACAAAAAAAAAAGAGAGAAATGAATTTTTTTTTTCTACAAATATTCTTTGTATCGAGATGTAATGATGATGATGATATTGAAAATTTTCGGTAAATGATTATGATGATCAAAATAGAACCAGAATTCCCAAAAGATTATATCGACATTACAAAAACATTTTAGTTTGATATATACATTATGTACCTGAGAATTGGCAAAATATATTCAAAAAAAAAAAAAAAATCAATCACATAATCTTGTGACGTTAACTATGTTCTCCAAAAGGTGGCAGCAGATGGTTGTGTTTTTTTTCAAAAGTGTAACCTAATGAACGATCATTAAATGATGAGAAACAGTCAAAAAAAAAAAAATGTTCGAGATTGCAAAAAAAAAGAAAAACAATGAGACTAATTATTATTATATTGTACAAATGTATCCTTATTTGAATGTACCACAATTTTGATTTTTTTTTTTCTATGTAATTAATAAACCGATCGGTGGTTGTGTTTGATAGCGAAGAAATCATGAAATGTTCATTGTTAAATATCTGTTCGAATAAATCGGGCGAAAAAAAAACACGTCATATACCATTCATACGGGTGACAATAACGACAGCAAGATTCGACGATTTTTTTCTTTCATTTGCTTTTGTTTTTGAATGGCAACATTATTGAATCTTCAAAATCAAACATTAAGAATCGGTTTAAATAATGTAAGTTTACATTTGATTTAATATGATTTTTTTTCTATCTATTTTTAATCTTTCTACAATCGATTATTTGGTTTGTTTATTTTGTAGGATCCACCATATACCATTATGGATCGATTCGGCGGAATCGAATTAACAATTATTAAAATGATGAGTGTTTATTTCAATTTTACGATCAAATTGGTCGATTGTCATGGAGAATATGGTGCCAAACTGTCCAATGGAACATGGACAGGATTGTTACGTAAATTAATTGATAATGTAAATTTATTCACTAGAAAAAAAATTGTAATTTTATTAATTATAAAATTAATTAATCATAATCATAGGAAATTGATTTCGGCATCGGTGGTATAATGATGACCTATGAACGTTACAATCATTTCAAATTTCTTTATCCATATACAGTTGATCGACTTACATTTGCAACGATTTTTCCGGAAAATCAAATAAATTTTGATTTATTAATTAGACCATTTTCCAAAGAAATTTGGCTTTGCCTATGGCTTTCATTATCACTATTTCTGATATTTCAAGAGTTTAAAATTTATTTCAATAATTCATTATTAATGAAAAACACGGGTAAAAAATCTCTTAATCATCATCATCATCGGGCAAATATTTTTTACATTGCCATCAGGCTTCTATTGAAACAACCATATCAGCAATTACGATGGATGAAAAAATTGGAAAAATTCTGTCTAATCATATGGTGTATGGCCATTATTGTATTACATATTTTATATGGAACATTTCTATTTTCAACATTGACCATACCCACAAAAATGGTAATCGATACGGTGGATAAATTGGCCGAAGAATGTGGACAAAATAAAATTATTATACTCACACAACTAAATAGTGCTAATGGAAAAATTTTATTGGTAAATAAATGCCATTATTAATGAATAAAATATACCAGAATATTAATAATAATAATAATAATCGATTAATCACCAGGAATCATATCGAAGATTATATGATTATACGGAAAATAGTGATGATGATGAACTTGCACTAAATCTGCTTATAAGACAAATGAATTATAGCCCGAAAGCCAAACAATATGCTGTCATTTCCTATAGGAAAACATTGCAATATTATCAAAATGGTGGTGATGAAAAACAATTGTATTACATACCACCGAATCATTCCGGTTCATCCATTTCAATGACATGGATTTCTTTTCCATTTCGAAATGATTTCAAATATTTACAATCATTCAATAAATTGTAATTATATTGTTATTGTTATTATTATATAATAATATATATTTGATTTTTAATTTTGAAATTTCTTTTTTGTTTTTTGTCTCTCATCATTAGACTTTCATTATATAAATCATCTGGATTGATAAAACATTGGTTTGAACGAGAAAAAATGAAAGCAAACAAGTTTAGATCATTGATGATAAACACTAACAAAAAACAACAGTATAATGTTCCCCGTCACTATGATTACCATGATCATAAAGATGATTCAGTCTATGCTATTATTCGTACATCATCAACAAATCTTCAAATGTTATTTCAAATGTATCTTACATTTAACACAATCTCCATACTAATGTGTATTGTAGAAATTTTAAAATATCGAAAAAATTTTTTAAATTTTAATTTTCTCAATTATATATCCCAAATAATTAATTCAAAATAATATAGATTTGTATTCACGAAAAGTGGGTGTGTGTGTAATCGATTTTTACTCGTTGATCAATTTTTCCAGTTGTCCATAATTGTTGATTAATGACTTATGCTGCCATCTATTTATTCGTGATCTAATATATAAATTAATAAGAAAACTGATGATGGATTGATTCATTTGTTGATCGAAATATTGTTAATCATCAAGGTCATCAAGATCATTTTAGATCGATGTATTGTTTTCGTTTTTTTTATGTTGAAATCAATGTGAATTTTATGTACCGAAAAAATTTTTTATTCAAGTACTGGAATGTTTTTTTTTTCATTCGTATCTGATCGATAATCGATCGATTCATTTTCATAGTTATTCATCATCAACACCATGACGTATAATAATAATTAGTATGGTATGATATTTTATAGGAATTTGTTTTTATGAAAATAATTAAGAATTTTCACTTTTATTCATTTCAGTAGGACAACAGAAAAAAAAACGATTTCTTTCACAACGCAATAATAATGAGATTAAATTTGGAAGCAAAAACTTTAATTGTTGGATATAATAATGTATGTTTATCTATCTATTAGAATTCCTATAACAATTTATTCTATTCTATTTTTAAAATAAATTATTATAATAATCAGGATCTACCATATACATCTATCATGATACAATCATTGAATAATGATCGATTGTTTGGTATCGATACATCAGTAATCAGAACGATTGCCGAATATTTTAATTTTACAATCAAATTCATTGATTGTAATAATATCTACGGATATCGATTGTCGAATGGTTCATTTAATGGTATGATCGGATTGCTGGAAACTGAACAAATTGATCTTGGTATCGGTGGTGTTATGATGAACTATGAACGAAATTTGGTCACCAATCATCTTTATACACATCTAATAGATTATGTTACATTCATGACAAGCACTGCTAAACAATCATCGATTAATTATTATTCATTATTGAAACCATTCACCAATCAAGTATGGATGATGATATTGGCCATCTTTTTTCTGTTTTATATGATGAAACAAATTCGTAGCAATTTAATTGTGAAATATCAACGATATTTTAATGATTATCATAATAATAATATTATATGGATCAGTTTAGGTCTATTTTTTCGTCAACCATATCATCCATTAAGATCAACGCATTTATCATTTAAAATTATGATGTCATTTTGGATTTTATCGGTATTAATATTATCGACAATGTATGGCGTTTTTCTATCATCAGATTTGGCCATAGCAAATCATTATATTCATACGATTCAACATTTAGCCGATGAATGTCATTCGCAGAATATTATACCATTGATTCAGGCCAATACAAGTGCTATAAAAACTTTTTCTGTACATTTATAATATTGATCATAAACTAAATTGATTTTAATCAAGAAAATTCTATTTCAATCACAGATGTCTAAACGAAAAGATTTTCAAATGATTTGGCAAAAAACTCAACAAATATCCGATACTGAAGAAGGCATACAAATGATTATTGAACAGAATTTGAATGGTAAAAAATTCTCATTAATCACTACACGTTATTCATTACAATATTATCAATGCCATTATGGGAAAAATTTATTATATTTACCACCATTGCAATTCGAATCATCATTCTATCCATTTCTTGTATCGATACCAGTACGAAAATCTTTTGAACATTTCCAATCTTTCGATATATTGTATGTGTGTAAAAATGGAATTTTTTTAATTTTGAAACCTCAAAAACAAACAAAAAAAATTTTTTCTTTCTACCCAGAATATTCTATCTACAATCATCTGGTTTAGTGCAGAAATGGTTACGCGATGAATTAAGTAATCGTCAATCATCTAAAGAAATGGCAAAAATTTCAAAACAAAATAATCAATTTATCGATGATGCTGTGGAGCAGATTTCATTACATCAATATACCTATGAAGAATTTAAGTTAATCTTTCTATTACATATCTGGTGCATTACCATTTGTATGGCTATATTCATAATTGAATTTTCATTATCGATAAGAATTATAATTTCAAATTTGATTAACAAACGATGAAGAGAAAAATAACCAAAACAAAGACAAAACAAAAAAAAATTAAAGTTCCAGAAAAAACGCAATATTCTCACCTCGAATTGTGATGATCGATAATTATCGGTCGGATTTCTCAATCAACAATTTGATTGTCTATAGAAGAAAAAAATATTCAAATGTTAGAATGAAATTAATGACTATTGAATCCTTTTATTTTTTTTTTTTCGTTTTTCACATTAAGTGGTGAGAGAGTTTAGGGCCAGTGAGAAAGAATCAGAAAAATGAATTTTCATTGGATTCGCAGTGGAATAAATATTTTCATTTGAATTCTACGATTCCAACGATATAAACGACATTATCATAATCGATAATATGCGATTAAATTTACAAGGAAAAATGATAAAAATTGGATTTTTCAATGTAAGTTTAATCGATATGTTTGAAATCTATTTTATTCTTATTTTTTTTTTGGTTTTGTATTACCTTTTGATACAAAACAGGATCATCCACCATATACATCAGCGAATCCGATTCGTGATTCAACATCACCGGTAATTGGTCTCGAGCCGGATATAATTGATACAATGGCTGAATATTTTAATTTTTCTGTTCATTATATTCATTGTCATAATCGATCGATAATGAATCAAATGTTAATGGATAAAGTGATTGATTTCGAAATTGGCGGTTTAATGATGACATATCATCAACATTTACGAATGAATTTTTTCTTCACACATTGGATGGATTATATTACGTTCGGTACACGATGGTCAATGAAAAATTCTACTAGTTTTACATTATTATTGAAACCATTCTCCTATCAAGTTTGGTTCCTATTCATCGTTGTATTCATCGTGTTTATTATTTTGAATAAATTTAAAATCCGTATCATAATACCAATACGAATAGTACAGCATCGAAACCGTTTCAATTCACAACAATATCGATCATCAATTGAATTGAATTTATTATGGATCAATCTAAGCCTATTGTTTCGACAACCATATCATTGGCTACGTTATCTTGATACATCAATTAAAATATGTGTAATTTTCTGGACATTTTCGGCATTAATATTGACCACATTTTATAGTGGTTTTATTTCATCAATTTTGGCCATACCGATTCATGACGGCATCACGACCGTACATCAATTTGCCGAACAATGTGAATCACAAAATATTATCCCATTAATTCGTAATAACACAAGTTGGGCTAATGTTTTTTCCGTATGTATTTTATTAATATTAAATCATAATTTGAAAAATTGGTTGATCGATTTTTTTTTATTGTTTAGCATTCCAAAATTGATGTATTTCAAACGATATGGCGTAATTCTCGGCTGATTAACGATACAGAAAAGGAGTTACGGATAATTGCATCACAATCGATGATGAATGGTGATGATCGAAAATTTGCCATGATTACAGCCCGTGAAACATTACGATATTTTCGTTTCCTATTTGGCGATGGTTCTATATATACGCCACCAGATGGTGATGATTCAACATTCTATCCAATTTTGGTTTCAATACCGGTACGATTATCATTTGAATATGATCATCAACCATTCAATGATTTGTATGTGTAAAACTAAATTAAAACCATAGAAACTAAATGTTTTTTTATTTGTTCTCAGAATAATACATCTACAGGCAGCTGGTTTACTGGAACGATGGAGGAATCGACAATTAATACGTGTTCAATATCTCGATGAATCGATCGATTCATTCATTGATATATACAATGATTATGATAACAATGGTGATGATGGCGATAAAATTCAATCAAACAGAAATCCTTATCACATGACAAATTTTTTATCATCATCATCATTATCATCCATAGAATTAAATATGATTTGCTATTTTTATTTATGGTGCATAATAATCGCTATCATCATATTCTTTACAGAGATTCTAACGTATAAACATTTTTGTTCGAAATTCATTCACATTATAAAACACAGAAATTTAGTTGATTAATATGTGAAAAAAAAACAATAAATGTTCCTATTTCACCAAAAACAAAAGCAAAGAAAAAAACAATCAATTTTTCTGGATCGTGTTTATGAAGATCGATAATAATTATATTATTTCGATTTCTCATTTATGTGTGTGTGTGTGTATGAGAATGTAATTAATGGGAATTAATGGGAATCGACCCCTTTTTCATTTTGTGTTCGACAACATATTATGGTAGCAAAAAAATGAAACCATTTTCATTTTTTTTTCTTAAGAAAATATTCTCTTTTTTCATTCGGTTTTTTGAATTCTATAAACAACATCATAATCGATAAAATGCGATTAAATCTACAACGACAAATAATTAAGATTGGATTTTTTGATGTAAGCATATATGAAAAAATTTAAATTTGAATTTGAATTTATAAAGTTTTTAATCTCCTAAAAAGGATCCACCATACACATCGAAACGTGGTTCAATATCACCAATAATTGGTCTTGAACCGGATATAATCGATACGATGGCTGAATATTTTAATTTTTCTGTTCAATATATTCGTTGTGATAATATATCGGAAATGTTTCGAATGTTACATTATAAAGAAACGGATTTTAACATCGGTGGTATAATGATGACATATGATCGACATTTACGAATGAATTTTTTCTTCTCACATTGGATGGATTATGTAACGTTTGGTATGAGATGGCCAGAACGAAATCATAATGGTTTCAATTTATTATTAAAACCATTTTCTTATCAAGTATGGTTCCTATTAATCACCGTATTCATCGTGTTTATTATTTTGAATAAATTTAAAATCCGTATATTAATACCAATACGAATAGTACATCATCAAAACGGTTTAAATTCACAACAATATCGATCCTCGATCGATTTGAATTTATTATGGATCAATCTAAGCCTATTGTTTCGACAACCATATTATTGGCTACGTTATCTCGATACATCAATTAAAATATGTGTAATTTTCTGGACATTTTCGGCATTAATATTGACCATATTTTATGGTGGTTGTATTTCATCAATTTTGGCCATACCGATTCATAATGGCATTACGACCGTACATCAGTTTGCCGAACAATGTCACTCACAAAATATTATCCCATTAATTCTAAACAACACAAGTTTTGTTCGTGTTTTCAACGTAAGTTTCTGGTACACAATTCATAGATCACATATTGGTTAATCAAATTTTGTTCTTTGATTTTCAGTATTCTAAACTTGATGTATTCCAAACGATATGGCGTAATTCTAGGCTGATAGAGGATATGGAACAAGAATTACGAATAATTGCATCACAATCGATGATGAATGGTGATGATCGAAAATTTGCCATGATTACAGCCCGTGAAACACTACAATATTTTCGTTTCCTATTGGGAGATGGCTCTATATATATACCACCAGATGGTGATGATTCATTCTATCCAATTTTGGTTTCAATACCGGTTCGATTATCATTTGAATATGATCATCAACCATTCAATGATTTGTATGTGTAAATCTAAATTAAAACCATAGAAATTAAATTAAAATATTTTTATCTGCTTTCAGAATAATACATCTACAGGCAGCTGGTTTACTACAACGATGGATGAATCAAGAATTATCACGTGTTCGAGATCCTAGTGAATCGATTGATTCATTCATTGACATATACAATGACTATGATTACAATGGTGATGATGACAATAAAATTCAATCAAACAGAAATCCTCATCACATGAAAAATTTATTATTATCATCATCATCATTATCATTCATAGAATTAAATATGATATTTTATTTTTATTTATGGTGTATGTTCATTAATGCCATCATATTTTTCATGGAGATTTTCATTTATAAACGTTTGTTGTTATGCAAAAAAATTATTCACACATTTAAAATTTCGTTTACGAATTTATTATGATTCTTATCTCCACTCTGAAAATTCATTATCATAATGAATAATTTTTTCCGAATTTATTAAAATCGATTATTATTATTATTATTTGATATCACCACACGATTATTATCGATTGATTGATTGTTTAATTCGATCGATCTATGTACGAAATTTTTTTCTGTTCTGTTATTATCATTGTACATCTTTGATTGTAATAATAATTATTATTATTACGATGAATAACAATATTGATGATTGTACAAAAAAAGAGAGGCTTTTATTTTGTCCACAATAATTATAATAATTACAAATTATTCATTGTGGATAAAATATGACATTTATCTCAATGATATATAAATGAATGAATAAATTGCAGCTGATGAAATTGTATCTTTTTTGTGGAATCTTGACACACACACACATATATTGGCTGGTTTTTATCGATTTTAACGACTACAATGCCACGTATGATTGGAATGTTGACCATAAATGTTTGTTCGAGCCAGAACAAGATATTCTAGATTAAATAAATCATACATTTGGGTAGCGTTTTTTATTTTTATATCTTTTCCAAATCCTGCATTTTATTATTGGCCGATTCAACAACGTTTAGTTATTCTCAAATCAAATGGTAATGATTGCATTATTGGCGTTCCTTTTACGAATGTTAACATTGATGGTGTTTCAGGTAATGTTTCGAAATGATAATTCAATAACAAACGTGATAGACAATAATGTAATTCTTGATAAGCGAAACGCATGCCAACACAATTTCTAGGGCCAAGACCAAATGGAAAATAAGTATATGGTACAAGATTATGACGATTTTCTGGCATAAAACGTTCAGGTAGAAATTTTTCCGGTTCTGGATAATAATCTTCACAATGATGTACGGCATGTGTTGGTAAATGAATAATCGTATTTTTTTGTAATGGAATACCATTCAATTGACAATGATCTACCGATACTGATCTTGGAATTATTGAGCATGGAGGATATTTTCGTAACGTTTCCTTTATGATTGATTCAAAATATGGTAATTTGTGCATGATTATATCAAAATATTCATGTGAATTATAATCTAATCCATCGAGTTTGGCTTGTAATTCTTCATAGCAACGTTGTTGAATGGTTGGATTCCATGCCATTTCAAAAAGACAATGGACTATAATCGATGACGTTGTTTCGAAACCAGCAATCAATAATAGAACACTATTGGCAATCACTTCAGTTTCAGTCAATTTTCCTTTCGCCAAAGTAGAACGTAAATTTTTTGTTTTTTCCTTATTTTCATTTATTATCGACTGCTGGTTACTTTCATTGTTCATCGTGATAATAAGATTATCAAGATTATCATCATTGATGACATCGTCGTCAACTTCAGCATCAAGTATCAGCTGTAATATATCGGCTGATTTTTGATCATTATCATGTTTTCGTTGTTGTATCAAACGTATTACAAGATTACAAAAATAATTGTATGGTTTTTCATTGAAAAATAAACGAATTCGTAATAATCGAAGTAAAAATTTTGGTAGTGTAATTGCAAGAATTGTTTGAAAAATATTTTGTCGAAATAATGCCATACCCATTTCGACAAACGAATCTTGAACATTTGTCGAATCATTTGAATTGATTGCCGTACTAAAACCAGTGGCAGCAATTACATCCATCGTAAGACCCATAATAAATTTACGTACATTGAGATGACCATTTGATTGTTGAATGTTTCGTTCAAAATGCTCGAATAATTGATCAATACATTGATTCATCATTGGTATGGTTGAACGAATTTTGCCAGTAGTAAACGATGGACTTATTATTGCACGCATACGTTTCCATTTATCAATATCGGTAAAGAATAGATTTTCATTGAAATATTTATGATAGGTACGTAATTCCATACGATTTGCATAATTACGAAAATCTTTTATAAATACTTGTTGAATCAACTCTGGTTCATGAATAGTTAATATCGGTGTGAGCAATTGAAATGATCCAAATATTTTTCCATATTGTCGATAACGTTCCAATGTTAATTTTGGCCATGATTGTCTTCCTAATTCATGATCCGTACCAAGTAAAAATATTGGTTTCGGTCCAGGTATTCCTAATCGTTGCCATAAACGTTGTTTATGTTGTACATATCTTGTGGAAAAAAAAATTATTATAAACGAATAGAAAAAAAACATTCAATGAATTTGAATAATAACTTACAGATAGAATACAGTTGAAGTAATTGTAATTAAACTTATTAAAAACCAGATCATTTTTATATATATTGAATTTATTATTGTTTACTATTGTGCGTGAATTAATCATTAATCAATAAAAAAAATTATGCTCAAAAAACAAACATGTTTGAATCACATATAGGGTGTGGCCATAATATAACGATTATGATGTATTCATTTTGATTTCTGTCATCATCATCATCATTATCATTATTGCAACAATGTCGTATACATGTATATGTAAAACATAATCGTCGGTGAAGGTCGATTATTTATTTGTGTTGTTATTTGTATTTTGTTCGATTGATTTTTCAAAAAGTTTTTTTCAAGTTTCAAACAACAAAAAAAAAGTCTCATGATTTAATGTTTGTGTCTGTAGATATAGAAGATATTACGGCGCATTCAAATCTAATAATAAAAATTGTTCTTCAATTTTTATCATCAAATAAAGGCATCATTATCATTATTATTAAAAGATTTTAATTATTTTCATGTCTTTTATCAATTTTAGGCAAAATTTTTTTTTATCATTTATACAACACAGTTTTTACAATTGTACAATGTTGTATATATTTATAGATTATCGCCTTATGATTTTCAATTTGAATGGTAATGTTGATAACAATGGTGAACGTGGTCTGAATTTCAACACTTTTGGTGTAACACCAGAGATTGTTTCAAAACGATATGTCATTATGATTCGCGATAATGCTAAGCGAATTTCCTGATATGCAAATCGCATTCCAATACAATTTCTAGGGCCCATTCCAAAGGGCATATATGTATAAGGTACAAGTTTGTCCTTATTTTCAGGCATAAAGCGTTCAGGATCAAATCGTTCTGGATCAGGATAATAATCTTCACAATGATGGATAGCATGCGTCGGAATATGAATTATTGTATCCCGTTTTAATGGTATACCATTCAATGAATGATCTTCAACCGAAACGATCCTTGTCAATATGGTTACAGGTGGATAAAGACGTAATGTTTCTTTCACAACAGCTTGAAAATATGGCAGATACAACATAACTTTGTCATAATATTCAATGGAATTGACATCTGTGTCTTTCAAATTCTCCTTCAATTCCTCATAAAGACGTTCTTGAATTTCTGGATGCCATGCTAATAGAAATAGACAATGTGCGATGGTTGAGGATGTTGTCTCAAAACCGGCAATCAAAAAGAAAATGGCATTGGCAATGATTTCACTTTCAGTAAGTTTTTTCTTATTGACTGATTGATTTATCTTATTATCATTATCGATTTGTGGTTCATCAGCCGTTGCTTCAAGGTTATCAAAATTATCATCATCCACAACTTTTTCATCGACTTCCGCATCCAACATCAATTGTAGCAAATCTGTTGGTCTTTGTTTCATTGTTTTACGTTGTTTAATAATCTCTCTAGTTAGATTGCAAAAATATTCAAATGCTTCCTCTGTGAATGCGAAACGAATGTTAAGCAGATTCAGCAGAAATTTCGGAAACGTAAATATAGCTAACATGCGGAAATTTGATGAACGAAATAAACCCAAACCATTACGAAAGAATTGATCATCTTCACCAAGATTTGTATTCATATTCGTACTGAAACCAGCTGCTGCAATAACATCCATTGTAAAACCTGCGATAACTTTTTTCGTTTCCAGTTCACCATTGGATTGATTACGAATTTTTTCAAAAAGATCAAATAATCGATCCACACATCCGTTCATTGTTTTAGTCATTGCACGAAGTTTACCGGTCGTAAATGATGGACTGGCAATACTACGCATCCGTTTCCATTTTTTATCCAATGAAAATAATAAATTTTGATTTAACAGTTCATGATATGTACGTAGTTTTGCACGATTAATGAAACAATGAAAATCTTTAATGAAAACCTGTTTGATTAATTCAGGATCCATAATGGTCAATGTTGGTGTCAATAATTGGTAACCACCGAAAAATTTTCCATAACGTCGTACACGACGCATTGTTATTGATGGCCAATCATTGAATCCTAATTCAATATCCGTACCAAATAGAAACAATGGCTTTATACTAGTTACACCATGTTCATTCCAATAATTTTGTTTCCGATTTATGTAGCTGTAAAATAAAAAAAAATTAACCAAAAAACTAAAAATAATAAAAAAAAAAAATACTTGATAATCCATACGATCACACCGCCAAATATGATTAATTCGATGGTCCAAATCACATAGTCATAAAGTATGCCGAACATTTTCTTTTCTGAATGTCAATTGATGATCGACGGCAACGGCGACACACTAATAATGTAGAATAAAATTAAATCCTCTCATTTATATGTTAATTTACAATCAATTTGCTTCTTGTTTCATTTTGTTTACCAGTATATTTTTATCACACCAGAAAAAAAATTTACAACTATCATATCAGCACTGTTTTAGTGTTAAACTTTAAGTACAACATTGTTGTATACATCAAATTGGCTCATTTGATGTGATAACATTGAATATATTTGATTGTTGTTGATTGAAAATTGTATCAAGTGCAAATCCTATGCTATTCAATCAATCGAATTGAACTTTATTTATTTTAACAATTATGGCAATTGTAGTCATGATTAGATTCAATAGATTTTAATAGATGTCTTTTTCAATAAAACAATCTTTCATCATCTTTCATAATTGTTTTAAATCATTATATATTCACTGAATAAAGGTACCAATTTGATATAAATATTCTAAATTCTTAATAATCAATCAATCACATTATTCAATAGCTATTTGTTCGATCATTGATGCTGCATATAATGTAATCCAATAGATTAGATTGAATATTGCAAAACAGATGGGAAATAATATTCGTGAACGACGATCAATTTCATATGCAAATTCTTCTCCATTATCGATACGGATTTGTTTCAATTGTTTTTTGTAATCTGTCGTTTTTCGTTTCACACAATCATTATAATGATTGAAATTTATGATAGAATCAGTTTTCGATAATGACAATTCCGGATTCTTATCATTATTATTCATCATATGACTTATAATATCGAAATGTTTACGTTTTTTTGCCCAAAAACGTTTTTTTCTATGATAAATATAATTAACGGCAACATATTCGACAATACTTGCAAATACAAATATAATACAGGATAATATCCATAAATCTAGTGAATGAATATAAGAAATTGTTGGTAATTTTTCTCTTGCTGAACGAGCCATCGTAACCATTGTAAGCATTACGGTAACACCCAAAGTAATACGTGCAGGCGCAGCAGTTATTTCAATCCAAAACGAACCCCAACTAACGATGACAAACAACGCTATAGGAATGTAAACATCCAATAATGATTGCATGAATTTACGACGTATAAAAAATATTGCTGTTAATCGTGAATATGTGCCCGTATGTGTGTAGGTGATATTTGTTTCAATTAATTGATAATCAATTAATTCAAAACCATTCCAATGAAAATCCGGTGCAAAATAAATTGACGAATAATTGTCAATTGTTGACCATCGTAAACGAAGATCATTAAGATTAAGCTCATTAGTTTCAATTTCAAAGTGAATTCGTTGTAAATCAAATGGATATAGATGAAAATTTAATTGATTTAATCCACAAAGGCTCATCCGTTTACTAAGCAATATTAATCCATTTGTTTGCGAAATTCTCACAAGAACGGGATGTTCATCTCGATTGTTGAATACATTCGGTTGTTTTGCATTAACAATGAAAATTGGTGGCAACCAAATACGATTCAGATGCCATACACCACCTTGTATTACTGATTTTGTTGTTGTTGTATGATTTTGTTGTCGTTGTGAAATTGATTGATTTAACATGTTAATACGTTTATCCAGCCAGGATGTTCGTAATAGTAAATCTAAATGAAATTCCTGAAATTTATTTAGAAAAAAAACAATTGAATAAAAAAACAAATGAAATGATGAGAACATTACATTATTTGATTCATAAATATTGGCAACACCGAATAAAAATATACTGATATTGACATTAATTGGCTGATTATTAATATTATCTGGAGGTAGCCAACGATTATAAATGGATGGATCGGTTTTCCAAATGAATAAATGATCATCATCATTGTTCGAATTTGTGTTATCTATTGCCATAATGAATATGAAATTGAACAAAATGAATTGTAGAATAAATCGATCCATGATGATGAAAAATAACTTGATGGTAATGAAAATCATCAAAAAACAAAAGAAATTTTTTTTCGATTTGAGATTTTACCTTTCCAGGATCATCTCATCAATGATCAAATGGATTTATTGATCATAAATCATTCAAGATTATCAATTATTTTTTTTTACAATCATAGAATGTATGTGATTGAGATTAGTAATAATCGATAATTATTGGAAATAGGTATCAAAACTATTAATCAATCACACTGGAAGAATGGACTTTTTTTCTCCATTATTATCCCCAATATTTTTTCCATTTTTTCTTGCCACCACCCACCCAAACAGCACCACCTCCGCCATTATATCCATAATTACCATGTCCATATTTACTACCTCCATGTTGATATCCACCAACATGTACTTTTTTGATGATAATTACTTTTTTGATCACAGCACCACCACCACCGCCATGATAGCTTCCGCCACCACCATGATAGCTTCCTCCACCACTACTGTGTTTTTCTGGCCAATAGCCATGACCACTGCTTGTTCCACTACCATGCCCACCACCTCCTCCGGCTCCATAACCAAATCCACCTGTTGAAGAAAATTGAATTAAAATTAAAATTAAAAATATTATTGAAATCTAAATCGATATTTTTTTACCACCACCACCGCCGCCGCCACCGCCTCCACCACCACCACCACCGCCACTTCCCCAACCGCTTCCAAAGCCATAACCATATCCTGTTAAACAAAATAGAATTTAGATTAAAATCTACATAATTTAAATTTAAATCAAAATCTTTTTTTACCTCCACCACTGCCACCTGTATTACTATAACCACCACAATCGACCATAATAATTATAGCGATCAAGATGATAATAAACTTGGACATAAAACTTGTTGATCGTCGCATTGTTGACAATGAGAAAGCAAAATAAATTTGGTGGACAAAACCCGAATCAATCAATAAATCAGGGGTAAACAAAATAAAGACGAAAAAAAGAATTCAATTTTCAGCTTTTCGTTTCATGTTCACAAAACTGAATATAAACTGTATTAAATATTGTTGGAATATTCCATTTTTCTTTTTGTTTTTATATATTTTATATTTTTCAAAAATCCCCAAAACGGAACTTGAAATCGATATTCTAAAGAATCAATAGTTGAAATCGACCGGATATCGATACTATGTCTGTATGTGTGTTTTTGTGTGTGTGTCAGTGCGACCTCAAAATACGTGCATGGAAACAATAAATAAATTGATTATAAAATTCATTTGAAGGAAAGAAAAAATCACGTTTTTTCCTCCCAAATCATATTACAATTATTTGAAAAATTTGCTGAAATTTTATTGTTTTAGTTGGCGTGGTTATATATAAAATATAAATGATCAAATCTAATTAAAACTAATTAAATGAAAACCAATTGATGCCGATATTATTAACATTATGAACCAAATACTTGGTGTTATTACACCAATGATGACCAGCGGATATGTTAGGTCCCAACCTCTTGACATGACGGAACGCATCGCTACCAATGCATATGTTTGCGGTCCAAAATAACTAATCGGTTTCATATATTTAGGCATAGCTTCGACTGGCCAGAATATACCGGATATTATTGATACCGGCAAAAATGATGCCATTGCTAAGGCTAGTGCTTGACTTTCATTTTGTGAGAATGCTGAAACAACCAGTCCAAGGGCCATTCCACACATTCCTTGTATTAATGTTATCAAATATATAATCATGACGGATCCTTGATTTTCAACATCGATTATATATAACATTGTAATCACAGATAATAACACTTGCACAGCCAACACTAATAATTGTGTACTAATCTGTGATACGATAAATTCAAATGTTTTAACACCGGCCACCAATGTACGTTCGAAGATGCCATCTTTACGTTCCAATACTAATGTTATGGCTGTTAATGCCATTGCAGCAAAAAATATTGCCATCGATATTAAACCTACAAAAAAAAGAATGGATTTAAAATCGATAAAAAAAATTGTTTCTGAAAACAAACCTGGTGCCATAAATTCACTCATTTTTGGCGATTTCATTCCATATACATAATCATAATTGAATGGATTTTGTTGTACAGGATTCAATGTTTGATTCGTATCGGTAAATAATTCTGTTGCCATTGCCATTGTCTGATTGAATGTTATCCATAATTCTTTCTGTATTGTATTGGTTATAACATAATTTGTCGTATCTAAATGTAAATCAATTTGTGGTAATCGTATATCATCGATATTATCATCACTTGCAATCAATTGCATTATACGTGTATAATTGTATTGAAATGATAGCAATGCCCATGCAAATCCATTTTGTACTTGTTGTATTGCTTCATCATAATTATCGAATTCAATCAAACGAAATGTATTATTATTTAGATTATTGATGAATAAACCAGATAGAATTGGTGGACGATCCGTATTATAAATAGCCACTGGTATATCATAAGGATCTGGTCCAAGACATGTGAAATTCAATAAACATTGAAAACTAGGCATCAGGAATTGTATGATTAACATTGATAGATTACGACGAATTCCGGTTATATTTTTCCAATTCAATGCCCGTATACGATCGATGAATGCAAATTTTGGTTGATGTTGAAATGGATTGATTGTCGAGGTTTTATGTGAATTATCATCATCATCATTATTATTGGTAACAATTGTCATATCGAATACTTGTTGTTGTTGATTTTCATCAATCGAATCGGATTGACAAAGATGAAGAAAAACCGATTCCAATGTTGATAATTGTAATTGTTCCATTAGAATGGTTGGATTTTTTTCTGCCATCAATCGTCCATTACGCATGAATGATACAATATCAGCTGATCGTGCTTCTTCGATATATTGTGTTGTAATAATGATGGTTAGATTCATTTTTTCCGTCAACATCCGTAGATAATCCCAAATGTTTTGTCGTAAAACTGGATCCACACCAACGGTTGGTTCATCCAATATTAATAACGGGGGTGAATGTATCAACGCAACAGCTAATGATACACGACGCTTTTGGCCACCACTTAGATTATTTATGTAACGATCTTTTTCTGGCAGATTCAAAAGTTGTATTAACTGTTCCGTACGATTATCGATATTTTTAATTGTCATATGGAATAATTTTCCAAAATATTCAAATGTTTCGGCTATAGTAAAATCAGCGAATAATGCCACTTCTTGTGGTGTATAACCAATACCTGGACCTGGTATACCACTTTCTGGTGTTCCTGGTCGTTGACCATAAACAGAAATTTGTCCACTATCCGGTTGTCGAATGCCAATCACACAACGTAATAATGATGTTTTTCCTGTGGATTTTTTTTTCATGAGAAAAAAAATTCATGTTTTTCTAAACAAAAAAAAAATTTGTATAAAAACATACCACACCCACTTGGTCCAAGAAGGCCATAAATCTGTTTAACCGGTACATTCATATTAACACCTTTCAATACTTGATGATTACCATAACTTAGGAAAACGTTACGAATTTTAACGGCAATCGGTGATAATTGATTATGATGATTTGATTCATTTTTATTACGATTATGATTATTATCCAATTTAGTTGTCGTCGTTTTCGTTTCAGCTTGATCATCATAGAATCCATAATTTTCATATACAACATTCTTGTTAATGTTGCTATCATTGTCGGAAATGGTTACCATATCCATGATGATGATGATGATGATGTGAATTTTTTTTTCAACAATCCAGAATAAAACTTGTTGAAATTTGCCATAAGAAAGCTGATTGAAAATGTGAAAATGAAATTTGAAAAATTTCACCGCATTTCATCCTTGTCTGTATGTGTCTGTTGTTGTTTTTTCAAGGATTTTAGTATTAGCATGTTTTTTTTGTTTTGCTTTTTTTTCTGAAAAAAAATGTAAAGGAAAAAAAAGTTAAAATGAATGAATTTTTACCACAAATTTTCAAATTTAAATTTTATTTTATTTTTTGTTTGTTTGTTTGAATTTAGGAATTTTTATTATAAAATATATGATGATGATGATGATATATTTTGACATTAGATGGCAGAACAAAACCAACTTTTGGAATTTTCGTATTCGAATGAATATTTCGTTGATTATTACACAACATATCCTAACCCTAGAAAGGTAACCTACGTAAAATTTATGCTTTTTGCACTTCAAAATGTTCCAAAAAAACACTCACGATACTAAGACAGCTGGAACCCCTTTCTATTCCTCAAGAATATATTTCTACGCCTTTAGAAATAGAAAAGATCCAGTTTTTGCCTTTTATCTGTTATCTATAAGCTTAGGCTTAAAAGCTTGTACGTAAAATTTACGTATAGTTGCCTGAATCAGCATAGAAAAATCTTTGCTGAGAGCGATAGTTTCGGAAATTTTTCTCAAAAAACGTCATCATCATGAATAGAAATAATTTTAATTTTTTTCTTTTTTTTATCTTTTCACTTGTCAAAAACGTTTTTTGTCGCAATATTTTTTGAAATAAACGTCTTTTCTGTTCATTTGTTTATATTTTTCACTTTATTCAAAATTAAAATGCTTGCAAAAAGCGTTTAACAACGACCGGATGTAAACGTTGTGGCACCGCCCCCGTGGCGAATATCAGATAAAAATTTGTCAATCATGTTTCGATACACAATCATCGATTGATTAATCATATTTACAGGATCATTTTTCATTTTTTCTTGACGCTGTGATAATTTCAAAATTGACAATAAAAAAAAATTCAAAATTTACACCATATATTTAATTTGATATTTTTGAACTATCCACTTTTGAAAAATGATTTTTTCTTCTATAATATAAAATAGAGGTGTGATTCAACGAATAAACGTTAAAATTTAACATAAATAATCAGATAAATAATTTTTATAGCGGAAATAAGTTAGGCATATCAACTACGTAAAATTTACGTAGGTTACCTTTCCCGCAATATCGATAAGGTTACCTTTCTAAGGTTAACTCAACATAATAAGTCATCAATTTCTGAAACTTTAATTAAATGAGCAAATGAAAATGAATTTGTATCGACAACAACAACATAGAAAAAAAAACAAACAATGACAAATCAATGATTAAGAAAAAAAATCATTGACCGATGATTCTTTGTGTTTAAGGCTATTTTGTATTTTTATTGACATGTTCATTCAATAGGAATTTTTATTATATAATCGGATTAATAATTTACTACCATTAATTGATTGAATCATTGTCCAAAATTTCCGTATACATTAATTCAAATAAAATCGATTCGTTTATTCAACTACAATTTTATGCAGCAAATTCTCTTAGATTATCAGTACCCACATACAAGCAAAAGAAAACAAACAAAAAATCTGATCACATTCATAATCTTTTCAATCGAATAAATCGAAAAAATAAAAATTAAAGAAGCCACGTTTCTTTTGTTTTTGAAAATAAGTGGCCTTTACATAACAACAACAACAAACGATTAAGCAATACTATTAACAACGATTATCGAAAATGTAATGTATTTACTTTTGGCTGATAAATTGTTCTTTTTTCTAGAGTCGTTAATTTTTTTTTGTTTGTTTGTTTGTTTAATTCGAGAAATAATTCTTAATGTTTAAATTTTTTTCTGTTCATTCGATTCAGTATTTCTCTCCGTGTGTGTGTGTGTGTATGAGTGTGTGAACCAAAATATCATTGAAATTAGATTAAAAGTTGAGAATTTTATTGTTGCTAAGATATTTTTCATCTTGTTTTAATTCAAATGAAAATTTGTATTCGTAATTCTATGAGCGTTTAAAATAAATGTTCAGTGCACACACATGAGTGAATTAGTAAATGTGTGTGTGTGTGTGTGTGTGTGTGTGGGATTCATGATCAGAATAGATTTATAGTAAGAATCATTCTTTTGAAATTCTGATCAGATAGAAATTTCGATTGTCAAGATTGTTTTTTTTGTGTAATAATAATAATAATAATAATTTGTTTTCGTTTAATTCACAGAGCCTCGAATAAATGGAAAAATGGTTATTTTAAAAATAAAACAAAAAAACATTTTGTTCTTACCATTCTGGAGAAATTATCATTTTTGATTATGATTTTTTCTTGTTTTGTTTTGTTTTAGTTTGAAAAAAAAACATCAACAACAATAACAATTAATTGTTATTAATAAAACGCCTGACCGGTTACAGGTATGTGCGTGTGGGTGTATGTTCTGTTATTGTTGTTATTGATATTTGATTCGTCAGCATTTTTTTTTTTCATTCGGATATTATTTATTTGAATTTGCCAAGTCAAATACGAAAAACAGAAAACAAAACAGAGAATAAAAATAGAAATTTTTGTAAATGAAAAACGGTGAAAAATTGTCACGTTTTTTTTGGTAGCTAATTATCAAATTTCCAGAATGATTAATTCACGTAATTCACGTAATAATTTGATGAATGGTAAAATGAAGAATCGATTGCCATTGCCTATCGAGATAATCGATTCTATCGTTTCAAACAAAATTTGTACACTAATCACATTCGAAAATTGATTTTTTAAGTAAATTGACACGTTTGTCGAAATAAACTTTAGAAAATAAAATTTAAATTAAAAATTTCACAAAACATTGCTTTTTCTTTGTTTTTTACACTTTTTTTTGGTTCCAATTTCGTTTGTTTCGGTTGAATGGGAAGTACAAATTTTTCTAATGAATATTTTCATTGAATTTTATGATCATTGTCACTAAATGATCGTAAATATCGATTTTCAATCAACCATTATTGATGATACATTTGTTTGGATAAGGAACAAACATTTCATAAAAATTCTGGCTGAATAAGAAAATAAAAATGCATTTTTTTTTTTTTTCATACAATGTCAATAAGTAAGTAAGTAAATGATGTCAGCCCGTTCATTTGTTTAATAATAATTGTCTCTTTTTTTCTGATAATTTAAAACAAAGATTCCTATTACATTTTTGATGATGATTCTGATTTTTGTGTATGTTTGTCTGTTTTCGTTTAGAATTTAGATTCATTTACCCGGAAAAACATTAATGAATGTTCCAAAAAGAAAAAAAAATGTTCTTATGTGTTTGTATTTGTGTGTTCCAAGAATCATTATCAAATAATCAAGAAAAGAATTGCACCACCATCGACAACAATACAAAATGTACTTCATTGTTAGCCAAAAAAAACAGTAAAAGGTTCAAAGTAAGTTTATTTGTTTGCTTTGAATTGAATATTATCGTATTATTGTAGTATTTTTTTCCTTTTTCGTTTCTTTTCTTCACTTGATTCGGTTTGAATTATGAAAATGGTAGTCTTGGAAACCACACACACGCACAAGATGATAGATTTTCTTTTTTTTTTTCATTCCATTTCATTTAATATCATCATCACCATTAAATATCTTTCTTCTTACGATGATGATGATGATGATTGAGCTCTTAGGAATCTTGAGAATTCGTTTTTGAACATACACACACACATGAAATTTGCAAAATGATGATAATGATTTTTTTCTTGCTCTTCTGTGATTTTTTCTTGAATTTTTTTTTAGTCTGGAATTTGCAAATCCACATTTGTTGTCATTGATGTTGATGATGATGAAATAACGGTGAAATTTGGCCTGATCTATTCAAATTGTTTATTGGCATGTTAGACATATCGTATGTGATTGTTTGTTTAAATAAATATTCAACAATAATAACAACAGTGATATTTTTTTTTGGTGTCGACATTTAGAATGACGTTTACATTATCATATAATCAAAATGAATCATCATCATCATCATCATCAGCAACATCTTCAACGAAAAATCGAAAGAATTTCGATGCAATTATAAAAATTATGATGACGACAAAAAAATCTTCGATAATTAATTCAAAAAATAATCGCGGAAAAATAATGGAAGAAAAATCACAAGGATTGCAAAAAATTCTGAAATTTAATCAAAATCTATTCGGTGATCGAACACCAAGAAATTCTCAAGCAGTAATAATGGCTGATAATGACAATAATAATAGAATAAATATTAGTGATTCAACTCGTATTACCTATTTGATTATACATCATGTATTACGTTTACTTGTATTGATTCTTTGTATTATCGGTTGTATGGTACAGATTATATCGATTGTTAACATTTTTTTTGGCTATCCAGCTATTGTTTTTGTTAATATACATCAAATGGATAGGCTTACATTGCCTGGTATTACTATTTGTAATAACAATAGGTTTGATTTGATTCATTTATTTATTTTACTGTTTCATAATTAACATTTGAAATTAATTGATTTTCCACAAATCCATCATGATTTTCTTTCATTCATATAGAGTTATGAGATCAAAATTGAATGCATATGATGCAAAATTTGCTTACAAATGGAATGTATTAATGAATCGTACGACAAATAATCATCAATTTAAATTGGTAAGTATTATAATAATAATTGTAGGTGGTATTAGTAATTTTCTGGGAAAAAATTGATGAACATTCATTTTTCCAAAGATGATATGTGTCACGCACACACACACACATGCATGCATGCATAGAACATCAAAAAAAAAAAAAAACTTTTAATTTTATTCATTATCAGATTGATGTGATTATTTTTTTTTTTCTTACGCTTATTTTCCGCCCAGTATCAACAACGATTAATCGATAATCTAATACGTTCAATGTTGACAAATCTAACCGTTTCTGAATTCATGTCATTTGGTAATACGGCTGATGATTTTTTAGATGTTGATTTTTTTCGCTGTGCATCGGATAAAAATCATCCGGATAAAAAATGTATGTAAGTATATTATTATTTTGTCGTAGAAATTATTATCATCATACTTGGAATATGCACGACACAAACAGATATTTTTGTTCCCAATTTTGCTTAAAGTGTGAGAGAGAAAAAATGTTTCCGAATCGGATATTGATGATGATTCTTGTTTTTTTTTGTTTTTATATTCCGATTCATTCTTCAATCAAGATTGAAAGTTGTACTGTTTTTTTTCTTCCACTTTTGTTTTTGCAAATCAATTATTGATTATAGTGATTTTGAATATGTTTTCTCTTTTTTTTTATTTTCTGTGAATATACATCCACCAACAAAAAAAATATGAAGATATCTCTCGAATCTATTTACAACGGCACAAGAACATGGAAATTGTTTCACATTGTTTCATAAATCCAATTCAACAATGTTAGAAACAATTTCAATCGAATCCGGTCTATCCGAATCAGCTGTTGTTCGTGGTCTGAATAATGAATCGGTAGATATTGAAATGTCGATGAAACCATTTGCACCGAATGAAATTCTAAGATTTCGTGTGAATTTCGAAGAAGATGAATATACAACATTGAATGAACCGATATCTGGCCGTTTTATTATACATGATAATAGTCAAATTGCTGTCATACGAGAGAAATCGTATCGAATAAAACCGGGAAAATATTATATATTTTATATAAGTAAATATACTGATCGATTATTACCCGCACCATATGTAACCGATTGTCGTGATTATGATGTTTATAATAATAACAATAATAGCAATAATAATAATAATGCTGATGGCCATAAAATGATGACCAATTCTAACAATAACAATATTAGTAACGATTCTTTACAAATGTTACAAAATCAACAATCAATGGAAAAAACGGAAGAATCTAATAATCTATTATTTCGTGCACCAGCATCGAAAGCAAATTGTGTAATTGGCTGTATGGCACGTAAAACGATTGAAACATGTAATTGTTGGCCACCGGAATTACCGTTTTTATTTAATGCACAATTGAATGCAAGTGAAAATCAATTAAAATGGTGTGATTGGCGTGAAAAACCACCGATTAAAAAATGGCAAGATAAATCATCGAATCAAACATGGTTTCAATATTGTTTCAATAAACATGAAGATGAATGTAATAGCCATTGTAAATCCGATTGTCGTATTGATCGTTATCGTATAATTAGCGAAGAAATTGAATGGCCATCAAAGGAAAGAATTGTATGTTGCAATAAATTTTTGTCGGAATTTTTTTTTCTCTTTCATTTTTATGATTCTGTTTTAATGTTTGAATTTTTCCTTTGTGTTCACATACAAGGAACATACCGATGATAATGATCTTCGACGTCTTAAATCCTGTTGTGCTGTCATTTCTATACGATATTGGAGCGCTGAACAGAAAATTAATCAATACAAACCACGTTTTGAAGTTCGTAATAATTGAATTGGAAAGAAGAAAAAATTGTGAAATTCAAAAAGTTTTTTTTTGCAAAAGAATTTCTGAATTTTTTATAATGAACTTTATTTTTTTCTCTGTTTTATTTTATATATTGTAGATTGCCGAATTTACATCAAATATTGGTGGTCTATTATCAATGTGGCTTGGTTTTTCACTATTTGGCTTCTATAATTTAAATGAAAAATTTTTCGTTCGTCTTTGGCGTCATTGTATGGGTATAAAACAACAACAAAATACAACAACAAGAAATGATGATAATGATGATGACGAAAGAAATTTAAATTTGAATAAAAATCAACGACAATCATATCATCATAAAAGATCGTATCAATTTTCTGATGAAACTATAAAATCATCGAAAATTATACGAAAATCAGATTCAAATGGTAATAGTGATGAAAAAGAAGAAGTGATTGAAGAGACGAAAAAATCAACAATCCGTCGTATACCATTATCAAAACGGCGAATATTTCAAAATGTTGTTTATAAAAATAACAAAAATAGTGATAGCGATAATCCAACCGAAAACACAACATAACAATCGTGATGTTTTTAGAAAAGAATTTAAAAGCAAAAAATAAAACGAGAAAAAAAAATCGATTCTATGCAATAGAGTTTACATAGTATCAGGGCATGCATGCAAAAATAACAACAATAACAAGCAAATAAACAATCAATAGATTCCGATTCTTTATTCCATGGGGAAAATCTTTGGATTTTTTTTCATGAGTATATATTGGAAAATTTCTTCATAACCAAAAAAAAAATTTCGTCATGTTTTTTCCACCGAAATACGATTGATAGATTTTTTTTTTGCTTCTATTTCTCGAGAGATTTTGATTAAACTTTTCTTTCTTATTCATGATAACGATGATAATTTTTTGTTTTTTTTTTTTGATTTGTTTCGTTGTGTAGTTAAAAACAGCCTGTTTTTAACAAAATCAATCAACCAATCAAGTCAAACATAATAATCAATGCAAACAATTCTTATTGGTTTCCGTTTTTGTTCATTTTCACTAATTCTAATATTACTCAATGACTATGATATATTAATCTCTTGTCTTTTTTTTTGGAGAATAAAAAATAATGATGATCATTTTTATTGTCGTTGTCGTTAGTATTTTAATAGAAATATAATGGTAATGATGAAAATAATAGATAATAATTAATACACAAGAGAAAAAATGAAAAAAAAATCAAAAGTATACGGTGGTTGATTTGTCAACATTGTTGTATGCCCACACCCGCACAACTCATCGTTGTCATTGTTTTTTTTTTTAATTGTATAATTTTGGGTAAAAATATTCACCATAAAACACATTTCCTTTCCGGATTCATTGTTGTATTCGACGAACAATTAAATGTATGTGCAAATTGTTCAAAATTTGCCAATGATCCTTGTACACGAACCGATGGTGGACTATGTACACTAGTATTGATTAGATTGATTGCTGCATTCTGATCCATATTCGTACACCACATCTATGTGCATATTTTTGATTTTGTTTGTAAAGCAATGGAAACAGAAAAAAAATATTAATTCAAATTGTTACTGTGATACTTGATATTCATTGTTACTTACATGTGCAAATGAAATGAAAAATAATTGATCCTGTGTATATTTAGACATGGCACCAGGTAAACGTAAATTATTTTCATGTTTAAATGTTTTAAATGCCTGTATTTTAATGGTGGTGGCGGTGGTAGTAGTATTAGTAGTAGAGAGAGAGAGAGAGAGAGAGAGAGAGAGAAAAAAAAAAGAAAAAACACAAAATTATTACTGAAATTCTTAAAATAGATTTCTTTCTTTCTGTTTTTCTTAGAAAAACATGACAAATCTTTTTCATTCTCTCGAATAACAAAATAATGATCAGAAATTCAACTAGATTAGTTTTTTGCTTTCGTTCTATAATTTTTTTTTTGCTTTACAAGAATATTTTAAGGTTTCAACTTACACGATACGCTTCACGTAATCCACCATTGTCAGCAATATTTTCGGCCAATGTTTGAACACCATTTACCTAGTGATTTTTTTTTGAAAAGAAATTTCAAGAATAAAAAGAATTTTTTTGGATTTCAAATTTCGCATTATTTCCCAATACCATACCTTTGCAGAATTGATTGAAAAATTGGAATATTGATCAACAAAACAATCGGCTTTTTCGGCAAATAATTTTCTTGTGTTATTCGTCCACCAATTTCTCAGTTCACCATGTTCATCATATAGTTGACCTATTTTTTTTTGGGAAACGAAAATCATGTTTTTTTTGCAAATTATTAAAAACCAAAAATTCAAATAATAAGAATAATTACCGCTATTATCGAATGCATGTGTCATTTCATGACCCAATATCATACCGATCGAACCGAATGTTATTGCACTGAAATCAAATTTATATTTACAGATTATGATGATGATATAATAAAATGATATATATGACAAAAAAAATTTATTTACTCAGGTAAATCGGCAAGATAAATACCATCCTGTATGATACCTGCGGGTAGATCTTATGAAACGAAACAAAAAAAAATTAAAATTCAATGGTTAACAAAAAAAATTGGATCGGAATGAATTAATCAATCACTTACAGACACCATTTGTAGTGAAATAATAGAATGCATTCACGTCAATTATCTGTCTTCTTGGCCAACTAATAGATTGGATTGGATTCAAAACAAAAAAAAATTGTTGAAACAAAAAACATTTAGTTGCTCATTCATGATTATTCATACCTCAACATGGCTGGATGATCCGATGAATTGGGTATGGTTATGATTTCATTATTAAGCAATTCATGTGATAAATATTGCCGTTTACGGCTTACATTAATCACTGATTGAATGTAATTTGTTGAATTGATACCTTCATACTATTTACCACATAGGGGGATTACAAATTAATTTGTAATTTTTTTTCTCGAGTAAAACAAACAAACATTACTTACCATAAATAGATATTTTTCCATAATAAATGTATCGTTATTATACCAATCAGGATAGCCAATGTTCATTGCCATTGAATCCAATTTTTTTACCGCCTCATCAATCGTACTAGCATCCATCCATTCACTTTCTTTAAGTAATTGTCGAAATGAATCTCGTAACATTTGTGCCATTGATCGAATATTTTCACGTATATTTTGATCAAAATAAAGATCAATATATAATTTACCCAATAATTCTGGCATATAATTTGATGTTTCCATATAGCAAATGTTTGGCAATACTTCTATTGCATCTAATTTCGATACTAATAATTCAACCATTTTGATTGTTGTATGGCGACTTAACTGAAAAGCCATATTTGCAGCCAAATAATTAGCTAATACTCTATGGTGGATTTTTTTTCAAAATTTTGTTTTTTAGTTCTACTACTACTACGACTGTAACTTACCGATCTGGTGTTTCAAGTAATAATGGACTTAATCGTTTTAGATATTCAATATCAGGTACGAATAACAATTCATCATCGGTAAAATTACGACCAAATATACCTTCCAATATGGATGATATATCGAAATTAATATTCGCTTTTATTGTCGATATATTGATCAAGTGTTTTTCATAATGATTCTGATAATATGACATTGAATGTCTTGGACTAGCACTATCTTGTAGTTTAAATTGTAAATCAATCAATGCTCCGATATCGGCCAATAATTCATCATCATTCAATTGATTGTCGCTTTCATTACTATTTGGTCGATTTTGTCGTAATTCTTTCAACATTTTCATATATAATTGTTTACTTTGATCAAGTGGATCATCACCATCAACATTTTTTATCGATGACGATGATTCAGATTTCATCAGATTAATTATATTTTCTGATGTTTTATATGGTGGTCCAAGCTATTATGAATAAGAATAATCAAGATTGATGAAAAAAAAACAGAATTATTATTTCCATTATTCTCACAAATTCAATCAATATAACAAAAATCAAAAAAAAAAGATCTATAGGCTTACTTTGATAATGATTTTACTTGTATTGCGAAAATCAATGATTGGTTCGATACCAATCAAATATTCTTGATCTAATTGTGCCAATATTATATATGCGTGTTCCCATCTATATCGATTAGAATGGAATTGATTCTGTTGTTGTTGTTTCCAATGATGGCCATCTAACATTGGCCAACCACCTATTTCAGTGATAATCTGATAGATTGGATCATAACCATTCTTATTGCGTTGTTCTATAGAACAAAAATAGATAAATTTCAAATTTATAAATTTTGAATTTGAATACAGATGCAACAAACTTGTATCAATACATCCATGATAGAATTCATATAATTTGTCATAGATAATTGTTAGATTTGAATTTGGTTTCACTGTTGTTTTACTTTCAAGATGTTCTAGAATTTTATAAAAAGAATCAAATCATCAATCAATCAATCTTATTTCTGCTGTCATTCTAAATACACATACTTTTCAGATGATTCTGTATGGATAATGCAAATAACTGAAATTGATCCCAAAGATCACGATATTTTGGTATTGGATGTTCCAATATCCAACGGCCACAAGCAAATTGATAAAAATTATCACATGGATCCACTTCTGGATCGATTGATGATAGAAATTTTTCGCCTAATCACAAACAAAAAATTCAAATTAAATGTTAAAACAAAACCAACGAAACAGCTGGTAATGATAAAAACTTACTGAAACTCATACATTCATTTGTTAGACAAATTGTTGATGAATCATTATTATTATCATTCGTTAATAATGATTCATCAACAATTTCTGTTTTGATATCAACTGGTACACTGATTGCAGTAGAAATAGTCAATGATAAAATAATTGTATAAACAATCGAATATTTGTTCATAATAATGTTTTCGAATAATTGTAATTTCATTTTGTTGCTGTTATTGTTGGTGTTTGTCATTTTTTTTGTCAATTTTGTTGCCACTGTTGTGGTTGATGATAATAATGATGACAATGTTGAATCGTTTAATCAAATAGTTAAGCTCTTTATTGATTTCGTAGTTGTCGTTGTCGTTGTCGTTGATGTTGTCGTTGTTGTTCAACACATTTGTTCAATAATTAACGATGGATTTCATTTCGGTAATTTCTCTTTGATTTTTTTTTTTAATAATAATAGTAAAATGGTGGTCGGTCATGTTATTGATGGGTGTTTTGCCTTTATTCGCTACTGTAAAACAAGACTATGTTTGCTGATTGATTGATAATCATTTTGATAAGATAATAAGATTGATTGGAAATTGAAATCTATTCAATTTTTCTGCAATTATTGTAAAAACAACAACAACAACAACAACAAAAATCAATTATGGTTAAATTTAAGGTAAAAGTAAAAAAGAAAAATTGATTGTTTAATGATAAATTTTTTTTTTACTGATCGAAAAAAAATATACACGATCATTATTTATCGATAATGTATGTGGCTTACCTAATAATGATTGTAAATTAATCATTAATCCAATTAAGGCATTTTTGTTTATGAAGTGGATAGTTCTCAGAGCATTTGGTACGATTTTCTCATCATCATCATCGTTTTGTAATTTTTATTTTATTTTATTTTATTTTTTTTTGACTTCCAATCTATCGATTTTTCATTTCGATTATCTTGATCATTGTTTTCCTATTGAATTGAGCCTTGAATTCAATTTAGGTTTTTCTATAGAAAAGGAAAAAGATTTGCATGATAAAAAAAATGGAAATCTTTTTTTTCGCCCAGAATAAAATGAAAGAAATTTTCTTTTCCATTTTCCCAACCGGGAAATTTAAATGAATTTTCGATCAAACATACCAACAAACAAAACAAAAAATGAAATTTAGGATCAAAAAGTGTCGATAAAAAAGATTTTTCATTATTTTTTATTCCTTTTCGTATATCAAAAATTTTTTTTTGTGTTAATAAAAAAAATGAGAAAGTTCAAAAAAAATTCATTCGACCATTAAATTGACTATACTACACTGCTATTGCTGCTGCTGTTACTAAATACACAGCCTTAAACTTGATATGATGATGATGACGATGATGATTCAAGTGTGTGTGTGTGTGTGTGTATATATTCCGACGACAAAACGCTGATTGGCGCCATTGATAATGACAATCGGCCATGTTGTTGTTGATGATTACCATTATAACAACAACAACAACATTGATTCTCATTAAAAAAAAAATATGGATCGATAGATTTAATTTTTTCGCATCAACATCAATTTCGTTGTTAGTGCACCGAAAAACTAGAGCTAGAAAAAAAACTCATATGGTTTTTTTTATCACTTGATATATATATATATCGATCATTATATTACGTCAATCGATCTATCTGTCTTTTTTTTTCATCAAATTTCGGAATTTTTTTTCTTTTTTTTTTGGTTATAATGATGACACATCAACAAAATTTGAATAATAAAAAAGATATTACTGTTGTTGACAATATTATTATTACTTCAAGACATTATTTAGTTTTTTTTTGTTGGATACACAGAAAAATCAAGTCATATATATATATGTAAGTAAAGAGACCGAGTTTAAATGCTTCGAAAAAAATTTACTTGACTGAAGGTGATGTATTTCACATTTTGGACATCAAGTATTCATATGATTTTGGCGATATATATAGGTTTTATACGAAGAAAGAAACAAGGAAATAAAATTTAGAAAAATGCAAAATTTTGTTATTGTCTTCATAATTGAGATTTTTTCATTATTATTTTGTTCACAATAGCAGTGATTAAAGAAAGTTAGGTGTGGATGATTACATCCCCCTTTTTGAAATTAGGCCGGAAAGAGAGAAAGGAAAGGAATGGAAATGAGAGAGGTAAAAAAATGTGACTTTTCAATATTATTTCAATTTACGATATAGGAATTCAACTTTTTCAATAAATAAATTAATTGAATACACTCAAAATGTGTTTTCTGAATGTTGATTAATTTCATTTGATTCTTTGATAAATTTTTTTATTTTCATTTCATCATTCAATGAATATCATTTGATCATTTAAAATATATGTTCGGCCATTACATTCGATTTTTTTTGATTGATCATTATCATGTTATATCAATATCTTTTTGGATGTTATTGGTTGTTATTGTTGTTTTCGATTGTTCGGAAATGGTTTTGATGTAGAGATTGTTATTGGATTGGTTTCTGTGTTGATTGAATTGGTTTCAATGATGTTTGGATTGGTTTCGATGATGTTTGGATTGATTTCATAATTGTTGTTGATGTTGTTGTTGTCGTTTGATGTTATTGGATGATTAATTTTTGAAATGATCAATTTTTGAGATCGGTTCGACATTATTCCCAAGAAAATTTTTTATCGTCATTTAAAATTGACGTCTTAGACGCAGAAATATTGGTAGGTAAAAGAGACCTTAAGCTTCGAAAAAAAAATGTATTTCACATTCATCAAGTATTCATATATATATATATAGGTTTTATTTTGTTATTGTCTTCATAAGAGATTTTTTTATTATTATTTTGTTCACACAAATGATGAAAGAGAGAGAGAGAGAGAAAAAAAATGTGACCCAAAGGTACACTCAAAATGTGTAATGTGTGAATTTTTTTTTTTAATATCATTTTGTATATGTTCTCATCATTATTATCATCATGTTGTTGTTATTGTTGTTGTTGTTACGAGATTGTTATTGCTGTCATAATGTTCAATTTGAGATCCGTAAATTTTTTTTTTCCTATTGCTTTTGAAATCCGGATACATTACGGATATTTGTTTTTTTTTATATTATAGAATTTGACAATTTTGTTGCAATCTTTTCTTTGTTTCTCTTCTCCGTCTGTCTAAATCGCTTTCCTGTTTGTCATTGTAAATTATTTTTATTTTTTTGATTTTTTCATTTATTTTTAGCAATATTTTTCTTTTTTTTTTTGTTTGCTTTTTTGTATCTATTGCAATCCAATTGAATAGGGTAAAATAGTCGTCGAAATTGGAATTTAAATCTGTATATATAATATTCACAATGTTCGAGACAATAATCATAGTGTGACCATTTTTTTCAACAAACAAAGAGAACAAAAAAAAATTAATTTCATTTTCGAATGAATGTGAATTTGAATTTAATTTTAGATATGAAGTTGTTGAATGGAAATGTTTTTTTTTTTGATACAATGTTGTTGTGATCGTTTTTATTCTCTCATACACAGGTTCAAAGTGTGATTATTCTTTTTTCTTTTTTTTATTTTTTTTTTATTTTTCAAATAAAGTGAGTGTAAAATAAAGATATATATATGTTTATTTGTTTCTCTTTCCCTTCATCTCTCTATTTCTTTGAAGATAAATTGTTATTAATTTTTCAAAGTTTTATCTTTTCTCTTTTTTTTCACTCTCACTCTCTTCCTCTTTGTCTATGAGCCATAAATACTGAAATTCTTGTTATTTGGTTCATTTCTGGAACACATTATAATGATGGTAATAATATTTTTCCCATTTTTTTTCTCTCTCTTTTTCCTTTCAATTGGCTAGTAGAATTTTGTTTTTTTAATCTCAATTCGTATGAAATGGAATCATTCAATAGCAACAACAACAACAACAACAACAACAGTAAAGAATTTTATTCATCCATATTATTATGGTGGTGGCAATGGTTGTCGTTATATGAATTTGATTATAATATTTTCTTTATTCATTCAATATATATGTTAACAAGAATTTTTTTAGCATTTTTATGCATAAATGGTATTATGTGGACATTATTTCTATTGAAATCATTATTTTTCAGGCCAATTTCCATTTTGGATCATATGATGTTGATAAATACTAAAACTAATAATAATAATATGGAAACATCTTCAATCGTTGGCAAAATGGAAAATTTCTTGGCAAATAAATACACTAAACTATATGGATATATTACTTGGTTAAATAATGATACTCATAATAAGAATAATAATGACGAAATTTTAGAAAGAATGATGACCAACGAATCAAATTTACAAACTACAACGATATTTATTCGCGATAACAACAACAACCAGAATAATGATGATGATGATTGCAATCAAATGATGGCAATACAAATGCAAATGTTAAGTATTCAAAGACAATTATTTCGTTCAACATTAGGATATTTGCAAAGTATAATTTATCAGGTTAAATATCTGGAACAAAATCAATGTGAAATTGATTCGATTAATCAAGATGAAAATGAATTCGAAAGTACATCATCATCGTTGATGACGATAAAATTATGTGCCAAAATTATCGATCTTCAACGTTTGCGTAAACAAATTGATCAAATTAATGGAATACCGGCAACATTATTAACATGTTTATTATTACAACGAAAATATGAAATGAAACGTTCATTAATTATGGCCACTTATTATCGACAATATGAATATTTTCGTAAAGTTTGTCGAAAATTTTTAAATTCACAAAAAATCACTGAAAAAAATGATCATTTACTCTATTATGAACAAATCATTGTCGATAATGATGAACAAACAATCAATTTAAATCGTTGTGGTCGTCGTCATAAAGTATTTGAAAATATTCACCAAAATCAACAAAGTTGTTTGCTACCAAATCAAATCCTATTGATCATGCCAATGGCTATTATGAATCTTAAACAAGCTATTCATGATCATTCGAATGGATTACCATTGACGGTAACGAAAACATATTCTCGACAAATAATCGATGGTCTTGAATTTCTTCATAAACAAATAAATATTGCACATTTGAATTTAAAACCAGAAAATATTCTATTTTTCATCGATAATAATGATGATGATACAAAAAATGAAATACGATATTGTCTTAAATTGACGGATATTATTGATAATTATCTACTTCCTGCCAATATGAATCACGTACAAACATCATCACCATTTGATTGTCATGTCAATCATTATATTAATTATACAATATCACCATTGTTTGTTGATTATTATCATGGCCGTTATTGTCATAATAATGATGATGATGATGATAATCATTGTGGTGATAATATTGATGTTAAAAATATTCAATTTAAACATGATCTTTATTGTTACACAATGACCGTATTATTAATGATTATTGGTTATAAAGAATTTGAAAGAAAATTTATTTGTACACAATCACCATATCGAATCAAAGCGAATCCTTTACATCAATATTTTCCATTATTAATTGAACGAATAAAATCATCAACATTGATTCCGGCAATTTTTATCGATTGGTTTGAATGTCATTTATCATCACTTATCGACAATCATATGAATTCAATGGATATTCTAACATCGATGATGAAACATAAAGCCCTTTGCGAAATTCGTGAATGAAAAACATTTTTTGGGTCAATAGTAATTGATCATCGATAATCAATAGTATCGATTTTAAAATTTACATTTTTTGAAATAAAAAAATAGTGAAAAAACTAATTTTCAAGTTTCAATTTTGTTCCACAGAAAAAAAGTATTTGCAAAATATTCTAAATTCATCTTATCATCTTCATTAGCTTTTTGGCAAATTCATTATCATTTTTATTTTTTATTAAAAAATTGAATAAAAACTTAAAAAAAGAAGAGTAGAAAAAGGAAAATTGTTTTTTTCTGGCAACATTTTAAACTTTTTTTATGTTTAATGCCCACAAGTTTCCTTTCACTTCCCAGGAAAATATGTATAGGAATTTTTCGTTTGTAATGTGAGCTATTCAAAAAAAAAATCAATTCCTATTCAACGCTTACTAATACTATAGTCATTGAAAATTTGAAATTTGAATTTGAATCTTCAACAAACAAACAAAATATTCTATATATTCGTATGTTTGTGTGTTTACTTTAAGAATTTTTTTTTCATAGATAATTCAAAAAATAACGGAAAAGAAAAAAAAATCTCATTTTATAGAATCGATTTGTTATCACTTTTTCCAGAAAATTTGAATTATCAATGATTATTGTATAAAAGACGATTTTTCAATGATTTTTTCAACAATTTATGTTTTCAGTGTTCAATATATATATATATATATATCCGCCATCGACATCATCATTATCATTAGAAATGATAAAGTTTTGAAGATTTTTTTTTTTTTTTTTGGTTCTTCTTTTCTTATTTTATCGATGTGATAATGATGAAAAAAAAAATTTATTCGTTTCCCATGTTTGACCTTCAAGTCGATTTGAATTTCAATTAACTGACTTTTTTTTAAAGACTAACTGAATACTACTGGAAAATGTTATTCAAATTGTTAAGCTCAACAATTTAAAACTTTTTTTCTTTTTTAATCTGTTCCAAAAATGTAATACAAATGATAATGTGATCTTGTATTGTTTAGTGGAGAAAAAAAAATTCTATAAATCATCATCTGTTTTCTTTTTCACTCTTGCACAATAATTTTATTCATCATATTTTTTTTTTTTGTTCACCTAACAAATATGGAAAAATGAAAATAAAAAAATTCTTATTCCATCATCATCATGCAATTTTGAGTTTATATTATTATTCTGGACAAGTTTGCTTTTGGCATCGTTATATGTTTTTTCTTTTTGTCTGATACGATTTCGAAACATTTTCATCTTTTTTTTTTTCACTTTATCCTCTTACACATAAATGTTGGATGCCTATCAATTTTCCAAACAGAAAAAAAATAGTTATTGTTTGAAAAAAATTGGAAATTTTTTGATATATTTGATATATTCATATTATTCATATCATAAACTTGTAGTTATGGTTATGTCCTGGATGACAATGTGATTATGATCAATGTTTTTGTGTGTGTGTGAACAATCGAATAAATGAATGTACAAAAATTTCCAATTGAATAAATTCATTGAAATTGATATTCATTGTCGAAAAAAAATATAAATTCTTTTTTTGTTCTTTGAAAATTTTACCAATCTTTTCTTCCCCCTCCCTCTCTCTCTCTTTTCATCGTTTTAGTCGGGTTAGAAATGATAAAAAATGGCTAATGATAAAAATTTGATCACGCATTCTCGATTTCTGTTTCTCTATCTTTTTGTCTTTCAATGAAATCGAAGACGGTTATCATCATCTTTATCATTCTTTAGCGCATATTCCTGATGGATCATTTTGTTTTTTTTTCAATGTTAAACGCAGAATCTGTTTGTGTAGGTGTGTAACCATAAAAGTCCATACACACACACACACACATACACAATTGACTTACAATTCCAAAAAATACATACAGTTTCAATCGTAGAATTTCATCATCAGCATCTGATGAATGTTTGATAGAATTTTTTTTTCTTCTCTTTCTCTCTCTCCCTGAATGGAATTTTTGATTATTGTGTGTTCACAACAACAACAACAACAACAGAATTAACAAATCGCAATTAAACCGGAAAGTTTTTTTTTCAAGAACGAAACAAAGAAAAAAAATCAATTTACAATGAACAATTTGATTCAGTCATTTATCAAATCATTCAATTGTATTCAAACAATACATGTGTGTTCAACTCGAATGAATGGACAAAAATCATTACAATCATTTTACAATGATTATTTGAATTTTGACAAAGTTTTTTCAAATCTGTTTTTTCAATTTTGATTCAAACTAAATTCTAAACGATTATTCTATTTCTGTTGTTGGTCAATAATTTGCTTTTATCATCATCATCATCATCATCATCATTAATGACTGAAATTTAATTATCAAGAAAAAAATCGGAAAATTCTCTTTTCCAATTTGTTTGTTTGTTTGTTTGTTCAAGTGTACAGAACAAAAAAAAAATATGTCACAATATTTGATTTGTCATCATCAAATGGAAAAATATATCACTGTGTTTTTGTCAAACAAAAATCATTATTTATGATGAGATGTTATTTATTAAATTTATTAATTTCCAAAAACAAATTCAATAATTGCGAATAAAGATGACGACCATTGGCGAAATGTTGATCGATCATCAACAACCAATAAAATTTCATAAACATCGAAATCATCATCATCATCATCATAATCATAATTATTATTATTCATCATCATCATCAACAACGACAACACAATCATTATTTGACAATCTTTTTATGAATACAACGACAACAACAACAGCAATTGATGATGATGAAATTAATGATAGATTAACATTATTTTTTAATAATAAAAATAATAGTAATAATTTCAATTTTCAATCATTATCAAATTATTTAATTGATGGTGAACATCATGACATTGATGATGATGATCATAATCATAATATATCAGCAACATTGAATAATTTGCGTAAATATATAATGAATCCAGATAATTATTCACCATCATATCGTGCAACATTAACACGTCGTAATACATTGATTATAACATTCTATTTAACGATTGTCATTATATCATTATTCGGTAATCTAATCGTTTGTTATGTTGTATTCAAACGTAAACCGTTACGTATATCGACCAATCTTTTAATGACAAATCTAGCATTATCTGATCTAATGATGACCGTTGTTAATATTCCATTTAATATTGCAAGAATTTTATTAAATGAATGGCCATTCGGTTCGATTCTTTGTATATTTGTACCATTGGTGCAGGTGACCTCTGTGTAAGTTTGTTTTTTTTTATTTACATTATTTTTTCATTTTCATATTTATGTAAATCAAAAAAAAAGAAAAGAAAAATATGCGAGTTACAACAAAAAAAAAACGAGAAAAAATGTCTATTTTTATTCATTAAACATGAATTTTTTTTCTCTATTTATTCATCATACATTTTCCAAGAAAATTTTATCATCATCATCTGATGTTTTATATTAAAGACAACAAACATAAGATGAAAAAAAAATTAAATAATAATATCTCATTTCATGTGTTATGTCAAGTGAGAGAAAGAGAAAAAAAAGAAGAAACTGTCATATGATGAAATGCATTCATTCAGTTTCCGGTTATTTGCACACATCAAAATATGAGATTGCCATTTACGATACAAAATAAGTAAAGACAAAAATAAAATGATCTATTACAAATTGAAACAAATTCATTTTTTTTTGTTCCTTTTTTTCTTGTCATTCTTTTTCTTTTTCGATGTTTACTTCAGATATGACCTTCCAAAATAACCAGAAAAAAAACCCTATAGGCATAACTCGTGATGTAAACACAGTAATTATTATCTCTTTTTTTCATAAATCGAATAAAAATAAAAAGAATATATATGGCATACGCCCGCAGAAGATGATGAAAAAAAAATATCATAGTAATCATTATTCATTCATTCATATATTTATTTTTCATTTTTCAACATAATCCGATTTTGTCCACACCTATTCACATACTATTTGTTTGTTATATTAGCTTCTGTTTTTTTTGTTTTGTTATAGCTATTGTTATTCGATAATGAATTATATGGTATGATGATAATCCTATTTTAAGCCATAATTAATTTATTGAAAAAATTTCATTCAAATATTACTAACCAAAAAAAAACAACAGCAAATTATTGCGATATTTATGTAAGTAAGCAGAATGAATTTGAAGCATAAGAATAATGTTTATTCGGATCCATAACCATAAATAACTAATACTATATATATTAACTATAAAGTTTTAATCATCATTATTTATAATAAACTAATAAAATCCGCTACAATTTCATTTTACTTCAATTGATCATCATTATCATTATTTTATTGCGAACCAGACGTTTCTATTTTTACCAAAAAAAAAAAGAAAAAAAAATCACATTGATGATAATGAAAATATTGCACTTTTTTTTCTTTTTTCACCAATATCGTTTGCTTTTGTTTTCATTTTCATTTCAATGACCATGTTATTTAATGACAAAAATCGTTACACACACACACACACACACCACATAGACACAATATATATTTTCATGTCAATGTCAAATGTTTAATTTATGATTCACAAACAGAGATGAGAGATGAAATGAAATTTTGGAAAAAAAAGAGATGGTTATTATTATTTTTTTCTAGCTTTTTCACTAAGAGAAATTGATTATGTGTTAAATGTAATATTTCGCAATTTTTTTCTGTTGTTGTTGTTGTTGTTAGAATCTACTTATTTATTTTAATGAAAACGAAATAGTATTTGTTATTTGATTTTTTTTTGCTTGAATAAAATCAACATGGAAAAAGGAAAAAAAATTCCATTCATTGATTCAGTGTACTGTGCACACTTATATATCGTTTATATAAAGTTTACTATAGTATATGATGATCATTTACATAACAAATTTTTAAGGTTACATTTGAATTTGAAAACAAAATTGAGACGGAAAAGATAAATAAAATATAAACAAACCAAACAGACGATACAGTTTTACATCAAATTCATTAGATCAAAATAGTTAAATGTCAAAAAGAATAAAATCCGATAATGACGATATCTATACTAATCATTTATCAGTTAAATCGTGGTTGAAAAATAGAAATTTTTAGACAAAAAAAAAAAGATACGAAATTAAAGATAAAAAAAAAGTTGTGACAATTTGACAATCAAGTTGTACAGTTGGGATAGATGACTCTCATTTTACAATTCCTATGAAAGTTTTCTGCTGTAATCAACGAAAAAGACAAATGACGAAAATTATTTTTCTCTATTATTCCCACTGATCTTGATCTATCGACCAAGAAAAAAAAAAAAAAAACTTTGAAAAAATTCGTTTATATAAGATTCGGCAGACCTGACATCAAAAGACAGAAATCAATTATTCAGTTTATCAGATAACACAAAAACAACAAACTAGTGACTTTGTCAAATCATTTGATTTATTCAGTTGTTTCAATTGAATTTTTTTTTTATTATTCCTAGATTTCTTCATTTTCTGCTCGGTTATTTGTCTATCTAGTCTAGTTTGTTTAATAGGTCCTAATTATTTGTTTGCCATTTGTTTTTGTTTTCCTTCCATAATGTGTTTTGTGTTATTTCTATCCCATTGTTTTTGATAATGTGATCTGTAGACACACAATTGTCTGAAACATTTGAAAAGAAAAAAATAATAATTAATGATCAGCAAGTTTTTGGGTCTGCAATGAACAACAACAACAACAACAACTACTGTGACGACAGCGACAATCATTTTTTTTTTTTGTTTCATTCGTTCTTTCTTTCACTTATTTCAATTGTAATATGAAGATGATGATCTAATCAAAATCTATAAGTCATGAAGTTTCATCATTGTCGTCATATATATATATTTAAGTTTAATTTATTATTGGTCAGTGAAATATCCTTATTTTTATTTCATTTTCTAGCTTAGTATCCTAAAATGAATACAATGAAATAGTTGACATATGAATATTACTGTCTAATTATGACATATTTATTCTGACCGGACAGATTCTGATTAAATAAAAATATGATAAAAGATGGATGAAAAAAAACTTGAAAAGTAAAGCCCTAAAGCAATAAAACTTTAGTTTTTTTTCTATTACGTATTCTACAAATATTGTTGCCATGAAAAAATGATAAAGCAGTAGTGAATGAATGAGAAAAAAAAATTTGGTGAAAGATCCAAAAAAATGTATTTAATTAAATCAATTTTGGTTATATTTTTTTGACGGCTAATGGAGCTTATCAAAACCCCCCCCAAAAAAAAATTGAAAGAAGACAAGTAGAAAAAGAAAACGGAAATGACATTGATACAGGAACAAATAGACAGATATCCATCCGAATGAAATGAAATGAGTTTGTTTTATGCTTCGGTTTGTCAAAATAAAACTATTCATTTTGATATATATAACAATATTTATTTTTAACATCTTTTGCATATATAATACTAACGATTTGTTTTTATTTTCCCATTTCCTGTATGTGTTTGTGTTTATATGTTTATAAAAAAAAAAATAGATATGTATCAACATTAACAATGACAATCATTGCAATTGATCGTTATCAGGCAATTTTGAATCCATTACATAAACGTATAACAACAACATTACGAACATCAACAATAATTATTGTAATATGGATTGCTGCTGCATTATTTTCAACACCAAATGTTATATTTAATCGTGTCGTACAAATTGGTGGCCATCTAAACCGTTGTCGTGCCATATATCCAAAACCAGTATTATCCTATCGACGTTATGTAACATTATTTACATTTCTAACACAATATGCATTACCATTATCGATAACGGCCATTGCATATATTCGTATTAGTTTTTATATATGGCATAAATTAATACGACCAAACACAAGTGATGAAAATTTAGATGATGATAATAATTGCGTAATGAAAACAATGACAAAAACAACAAATGCAGCAGCATCAGCATCAGATAATAATCATTCAGCAGCAGCAGCCATTTTTAAAAAGGATTCCATCGAAAGTGCAATGGTGCCTACGGTTATTCATAATAATAATGATCAACAACAAAATTATCATTCACAAAACAAACAAAGCAAACATCGATCAATAGCATTGACAAATTTATCTAAATATCATGCTAGTATCCATACATTACGTGAAAGATCACGTCGAAAATCAATTAAAATGCTTGCATTAGTTGTTGCTGTTTTCTCAATCTGTTGGTTACCATTGAATATATTTCATTTAAATTCAGATTTCTCATCAAGTAATCGTATTAGTGATCCAAATATATTTTTCATTTGTCATTGGTTTGCAATGTCATCAGTGTGTTATAATCCATTCATTTATTTTTGGCTCAATCACCATTATCGTCAGGAGATTAAACATTTAGTACGTTATCTGAATATTCTTTGTATGAAACAACATCGTTGTCGTCGTTCAACTCCAACGGCTACGACAACAGTAGCTGCAGCAACCATCCAAGTAGCAAATCGTCATTCAATGATTGAACCAGCTATAGTAATGGATGATGGTGATCGTAATGATGAACATAGGAAACATTCGTCACCATCATTATTAAATAATCAGAAAACAATTGGCTATCAACATTCAAATCATCATCATTATCCACTTCATCATAGTTTTCATGGCCATTATCATCATCGATTAAATAATCAAATATTACGACCAATTAAAGAAAAATTCATCGATGACAATAACAACAACAATGAACAAATAAATAAGATTGATGATGATAATAATCAAAATTTAAATGTGCCAAAAAATTGTGATAAATTCAATTGTAAAATCATTTGCCATACACGTTTTGTTGATGATGATAATAATCAAATGATCAATTCGAATGTTGATGATAATGATCATAGTGATGATGAATCTCAAGTGAAAATCACATTCAATTTACATCATGATGAAAAATCAACAATCAATGAATGAATGAAAATTTAATAATTTATCAGTTCACTCTAAAACATTTTCTCTCTCTCTCTCTCTCTCTCTCTCTCTCTCTCTCTCTCTCTCTCTCTCTCTCTCTCTCTCTCTCTCTCTCTCATCAACATCAAAACATCAACACCGTTTTATTGTCATCATTATTTTTTAGAATTTGATCCAAAATTCCTGGAATATAATTTCATTTTATATTGCACATATGAATTAAATCGAATTTTTGTTCGCCTTCATCAACATCATCATCATCATTTCAATTCATATATATTTGAAATCCATTTCCCATTGGGAGCGCAAGTTCGAATCTTGCTGGCTTATCAAAATAGACGATAATAACACATAATTTTCACATATAAAATACCGTACTTTATTATTAATTCAAATTCGCTTTTATAATAATTTGAAATTCATGATTTGTTTTGATTCAACTATCGGATGCACAAATGCCACATTACCATTTGGTAATATCTGAATTTCGTCAGGGTCTGTTTCATCAACCAATCCAATTGGTTGACATGAAGTTTGTTTCCAGTATTTTTGTGTCGATGTCCCACTTTCGTCACATGTTTCAGGTTGATTAATAAAGAAACTTTGTTTAATCTTCTTGATGTGGGGCGATATTTAATTCTTTCACACAATCTTTAGCCAAATTAAAGATCATGTATTTTGGACCACCATATTCGTATTTACAGATATTACTATCTTCTTCTTTGAAGATGATAAACGGCTGTGCTCTAAAGATGTCTATGTTCTTATAATTGTTGGGTGTCAAAAATTCCAATGTCAATAATTGATCTTTTACTATTTCACACCCCATATATTCCCACTGTTTGTAGTTTTCGGTGCTGTTAAATAAATGTGGAAATAAGAACATAATTTCATTCACAATTTTCCGACGTTTTCCTTCAACGAAAAACTTCAACAAATTTTCATTTGTCATTTGAAGCCGATTGTCAATTGCACTAAAAATTTGCATTACTTTCACAGTATTCTGACATGTATATGTGATGCGGTTATTGATTATTGATGTGATGATGATGATTTGTTTTGAAATAAAAATTCTCCATTATTTTTCTTGTTGTTTTTCGATTATAAACATTTTTTTTGCCCATTTCTCACAAATCCTTTAGGCCATTATTAATTTCAAACACGGTACCAAAACGAAAAAAACAAACATCATCAAAATATCATCAAATACACCAATCAAGATGATAGATAATTATATTGCATAAGTACACACATTACATGCACACACTGACAATATTGCATTTACATGCAGATGTTTTTGTCGTCGTCATTAAAAAAAAGATTCAGTGTTTTTTCCGTTTGTTTTGTTTATTCTACATTAACCATTCCTGTTTCTTTTTATTTGTTGTTGTTGTTGTTATTTTTTTTTTTGTTTCTCGCAAATCAATTCTGTTTTTTTTTTTTTTTTTCGATATATTGCACACATACACACTCATTTCTTTTTTTTAATTTTATTGACACAACTTTAATATCAATGTTACTATTATTATTATAGACCGGAAGAAACAACAACAACAACAAAAAATTGGCACAATGAAATTTGTCATTTTTCAACCAGAATTGTGATTATCACATACATCATATACATTGCCACCACCACCATCAACAATTGATGCTGTGTTTATTTTAATTTCTTTTCATTTGTTTTTTTTTGTGGTGGTAAATCATAATGGAACCAACAATAAAAAAAAATGAAACCATATATGGAATTGTATGTGAATTTAATTTGTCGTTCAGACACAGAATAACAATACCAGACAGGATTTTTATATGATGAAACTAATGGATCACCAGCAATCAGACATGAACCAGATACACAAATGATGTCTGGAAAAATGAACCAAACATATTCATATATGCATATATGCAAACAAATCCAAAACAAAACAAAACAAAAAAAAACAGAACAAAAAAAAAAAATGAATTCCATTTCCATTCATATTTATGATTGTTGTTCGTTTGTTTGTTTATTTGTTTGTTTTTGTAAAAAAAAAATCTAACTGCAGTTTATTCGTATACGAATATTTTATACACACACAAGCACATTTAAATTATATTTGCTCACATAGAATATTGTTATGAAAATATTTTTATTTTTTTTTCTTTTGGTGAGGAGAAAAAGCATATAAAATTTATTTCATTTTCGAATTTTTTTTCATTTTATTGAATTGTTCTTTTATTTCTACATTTAAAAACGCGCAAACATCATTTCACCCATTCATTCAGAATTTTATTTGTTATTTTAAAAGATTTTTTTTTCTCGTGAAAGTTTTTTATTTGAAAAGAAAGTTTATTCATTTGTATTTTGCTGTGTGTGTGTGTTGTGCCTTATTTAGAAAAAAATGCTTGATTTTCTCAAAAAACAAATCCAAGCAATGATGCCATCAGAATATTGGATTGCTTTAGTGGACAAATATTGGAATACATTTGCCGTCATGATTGTAATGGCACCGATTATATGGTTACATTTTACACGTATAATGGCTTTTAGTGATTGGAATCATTATAATTGTTTAGCTAAATGTATGTTCATTGTCTATTTGGTTTTCGTATACATTGTACATGAATTATTACGTATAATTGTTGTTAAAATCATAAACAAAGAATTAACCGTAACCGAATTGATGGCTTCAATGAAACAATGTTTTATGGCAACAAAACAATTTATCATTGAACATCCATTTGTCGTATGTATCATAGATAAATTGAAAAGAATACGATCCCAATCCAATGATATGATGGAATCGATCACAAAAACAGCAACAGTGACATCGATTGATAAGCAAAAATGATAATTATAATTTGATGTTTTTAAAAATCTGAAGAAAAAAAAAATGTATAAATTCATGTATAATTTTGTTTGTTTGTTTGTTTGTTGCTTAATTCCGAATAATAATATTGTTCGATTTAGTGGCTGCGGCTTTTGTTGTTGTTGTTGTTGCTGTTGTTACACTATGGTCGATGATTCCATACGAACATAATTACAATCGACAATGATTGATGATGAAGGTTTGTTCCAAAATTTATTTGGTTGAATATTTTTATTCTGATTATCCGACATGTATAAATATTCATTATCATTATTTGCCATCGCCGTTGTCATTGTTGGATCTAATCCTTCATAGAAATGTGTTTCATTTCGATCATTGGTGATCACTTCGTTGTCATCATCATTAATATGGCTATATAATCGTGAAATTTGTTCGTAATTCTGTTTTTCAAAAAAAAAAAAAAAAAAAAATGTAAGAAAATGAATAATTTGATTTTTTTTGTTGAATTTGCTGTTATGTCAAAATGATTAATTGGATTAAATGAAGTAATACAAACCATGAGAAAATTTTCATTTACATAACGGCAAAAAAATTGGGCTAACATTGAAAAATCGGGTCTTTTATTCGCATCCATCGACCAGCATTTCAACATTAATTCATAGCTATATATGAGAATTTCGAACCGAAATCGATTGATCAATTAATCGATTTTTTTTGTAAAGAGTTATCATTAATTGTACAAACATTGATTGTGATGCAAATCTAGGTCTTTTCATACGATAACCGGATTGTAATTTGTCCAAAAACCGAGCATCAAAATTTATTCCAGTATATGGTGCCATACCAAGTGCAAATAATTCCCAAAGAAATATACCAAATGACCATACATCAGATTTTGTATTAAATTTTCTTTCCAATAATGATTCGATTGCCTATTTTTTGCAAATATAAATGAAAACAAAAATATAGCCACCATCATTAAACTGACATCAACCATAATGATTACAACAAAATTCCATCAGAATATTTCATTCAAAACTGATTAACTCATTCGATTTTTCTTTTTTTTTTCACATGACTTACTTACCATCCATTTCACTGGTAAACGTTCTTGCAATGTTGTTCCATTATGATGTTTACCATTGTCACCAAATTTTACAGTATTATCATCATCATCGCCGACATCACCACCACCATGTGCAAGACCAAAATCACATATTTTTACAATCCCATTTTGACACAAAAGAACGTTACGCGCGGCCAAATCTCTATGGATTACCTGAAGATGAAAATCAAGAAAAATAGTAATATTCTTAGTTTTCATTCATTCATTCATTCATTCATAGCAAAGATCAATTAGTTATAATTAGCTTATAATTTGTGTATACAAATGAAAACAGACAATTGCATTGACAAACAAAACAAAACAAAACAAACAAACCTTTTTACTAGCCAAATAATCCATTCCTTTAGCGGTTTGATATGCAAAACTAAGTAAATCTTTTGTTGACAATGTTTTCCATTCATTTTCATTAAAGTTTTTGTTGTTTTTATTTTTGTTCTTATTATCAGAACAATTATTATTTGGATAAGGTTTCATTTCTATCCATGAAATTCTTTCTGTTTAAATTTCCCATGAGAGGGAAAGATGAAAATAAGAGAAATTGCGATTAGAAATGAAATTTTCAAACAAATTCATAATTTATATTTAGATGATGGATTTATTAGATTGTTAGGTTTCATCATCACTTACCATCATTTTTATTATTAAATTCTTCATCATCAATGAATAATGATGATATTAGATTGGTTTTTGGTTTTTCATCATCATCGCAATGATCATCATCATCATCCTCGTAATTAATATCAATAAATATATCGCGATTGGTTTGTAGAAAATGTTGTAGATTTCCATGACAACAATATTCCATTAAAACATATAATTCACCTTTGATTAAACGTGAAGTACATGCACCAAGTAAATTGACAATATTAATATGATGACCAATATAATTCATTATCTTCAATTCAATGGATAATGCTTTCAATTGTTCCATTGTAGCAGAATTTTTTAACATTTTCACAGCAACTATTGTTCCGCAATCATTTTCATCATTTTCGGTATTCATTTCATTATTTTTATTGATCATCATCATCGTATTATAAGCATACGACGTATAACGTTGATCAAGTCCATATGCAATTGCTTTATATACTTTACCGAATGCACCTTGTCCCAATAATAGTGTTTGATCAAAATCAATATTTTCCAATGATATTTCCCAACGATGATCATAACGGATTAGATCAATCTGTTCATGTATCGGTATGTTTGGATCAATTAGATTTCGAATCTTTGATCCATTTTGGCCACCATCATCATTATCATTATTATTATTTCGTACATTAGAAGATTGTAATAGATTGATGCTAAGAATTTCTAGCTCTTGTTTAGCTTTCTTTTCAATACGTATACGATTTACAAGTAAAAATATGAACAATAACATTATGAATATGACGGCAGCAATGGCTAAAATATATACAATGTAATTATCATCTAGATCGCCTAAAAGTGAAGGATTTTTTCCGTAAAAAAAAATCAAATGAAATATGATGATAATGATTGAGAAATATGAAAAAAATAAATAATTTCGTGTACATACTTATATGACAATCAAGAACTTTCAACTCAAACAATTGATTATGACGTAAAAGACCATCCATCAAATCGACAATAAGAAGATAATCACCACTATCGGATGGCGATAAATATTTTATACCGATACTTGCTCGTATTAAACGATTCGGATATGGATCAAAAATATTATCATTATTTATTGTGTGATTTTTATGATCCCGATCAATAATTAATGAATATTGTTTTGATAATACAATACGTGTATCACCATAATTGATGGATCGATTCATAACATTTGGCTGTTTATACCAATATAGATGTATCAAATCAATATCATCCGGTATTGCTATTATATCTACTTCATACTGCCACTTAGAATTACAGCGATAAATTTGATTTGGTTGTGATAATGGAATAATCTTCAGGAATGGTTTTTCTTTGTTTTTCCGGGTACAAATTTATGGAAAACATTGGGTGAAAAGATCAAATGAAAAAAAAAGTCATAGGGTTTATGAATAATTACCATATATTTTCAATGAAAATGATGTCATTTTTCTAGCCATTGATACATCGGTTATAATACATTCGATTTGTGCATCATCATAACGGCGATCCACATTGATGAACGTAATATTTTGACGAACTTTTTCCTTTCCTTTACTTTGAATAATTGTTTCAACATCACTGATTTTAATCATTGTCGACAATGATGATGATGATGAATTTTGCTACACCAAAAAAATAATAAACAAATTCATCGGTTATTTTCAAAAAAATAATATGATTACGAAATGATAACAAACTTCATAACAAGCTTGATTCACGAAATTCCATTTAATAAAAATTTGACTTGAATGAGATTTTTCCGTTGAACAACTTAACCGATATGATTGTCCAACAAATGTATATGGATACTGTCCATTAGGAATAATTATCGGTTTCGTTGCATAATCGACGCCATCTATTCAATTGTGGATTAGAGAGTTTCTTTAAATAAAAAAAATTAACTAAAAAATTATCAACAAACTTGTAAAATGAATTACGATATTATCATCAGATGTTATATTAAACGATGATTCTTCAATGAATTTAGTAAGATATACACGACAAATATAATGATCATTAGTTAGATTTGGTAATAGAAATCCACGACGTGAATTATAAATAACCATCGATGATGATGAATTTGTCCATTCATAATCATCATTTTTATCATAGGAAATCTGATGATGTGTACGTGATGATTCATCCACCGATATTAATTCAATCAATGCACGTGATGATGATGGTCGACAACCAATTTCACCTGGACGACCATAGATGGCCATCATAACTGGTACAGATTTTATAAATAAATTTTCAAAATCTAAAATATCAATATTTTTCAACAGAAAAAAAATAAGCTGAAATGAACAATTTTTTTTTGTTTTATTTTACCGGTTACATAAAGATAAATAGTATTCAATGAACCATGAATTCTGAAAGCAATCGATTCATCGTGAATAAGATGTAAATATTTTCGATATGTACAGGTATAATATCCAACATCATTTATTTCGACACCGATTACCGTTAAACGACTTTCCCGTTTGTATGGTTTTCCCGTTTGATTACGATATATTCGTTCTTCAATTTGAATATATTCAGGTAGAATTGTATCATAATACTGTATGAGTATGTTGTTAGAAGTTGGTCAATAAATAGAGAAAAAATATTCTATTAATATAAATAGATCATTATCATGTTATTTACCGGATGAAATTCGGGTAGAATCCAGCTAATTTCCGTCATATTATAATCATCATTGTTATTAATATCCGTTGTACAGATTAATGTTAGATTTGAACCAACTTGTAGATCCAAAAATGTTTCACCATAATCAATTATATTTTCAATAATCGATAAATTCATTGATAAAATTGGTTGCTGCTGTATACATGAATTTTTGTTGTTGTTGTTGTTGTTGTTGGTACACCAACAAACACCCATCACCAGAACAGCGACAACAACAATATTCGATGAAAATTTTCGAATTTGAATCATGATTCAAATTCGAATTTTTTATTATTTTAAATTTTTTACATTTGAAAAAAAATATGAAAATATTTTTCAAATTATGATTGATGAATGAATGTATCGATTGTGTGTGTGTGTGTAAAGAAATTGAAATCAATTTCACCCAAAAGCCTGTTGGCAAAGAAAAAATGCATCATTGACGGAAATGAATGAACGGAACAAACACATACACACACACACACACACACATCGTACAAACAAATTATTCAATAAAACTGTCATTGTACATTGGCCATTATATTCATGTCATCAACCTTATTCAAATTAGTATGTTGTTAACTGCGTGTGTGGTGGTGGTGTGAATGCACTAAAATAAACAGTTTAGTTAATTTTTTAAAAAAAAATTTACATTTTAATCCAATTCATTTGAATATCATTAAATTGAATATTTTTCATCTCTTTTTTCTTTTCTATATGCAAATGCACATCTTCAGTATATCTCGCCATTGCTGAATTAATTTGGACGGCATTTCGATTCAGTTATTGCTGCTGTGATTGAAAATATTCATTCGAACGAATTTCACTAAAAGTTGGTCGAGTACAAGCACTTTGATTATCCAACATTAATCGTACCGATTGTCGTAATGATTGATTACGAATCTTATCAAAATCAAATGTCGGATTTTTAAATTCACGACGATCAATATTTTTTTTCAAACTTGTACGGCTTGCACGTGATTTATCCTTCGTCAATGCTTGTTTCCGAGGATTCACATGTGTTTCCATTTCGTATATCAACAATCCAAAACTCCAAACATCAGCCCGACATGGATCGAATTCACCTTCAAAACATTCCGCTGGTAAATGATCATAGAAAATACTTGGTGATACACGACTAGCTTTAATGAATTTTTCCTGGTCCAAATTAAAATAACAGAATGTACGGCTTAGACCAATCAATCGAATATTTCGCCGTTCATCGAATATAATATTATCCAAACGTAGATTTAGATGTGCTATAGCCATTGAATGCATAAAATTCATTGCATCACATAATTGTCGAAGCCATTTTCGTACGTCTTCCTCGTCATAATTTATAATCGTTGTGGCTGATCGTTGTGATGATTGACGTCGTGGTTGGTGTTGCTGCTGCTGTTGCTGTTGTACAACGTTCAACAATGTCATCGAATCAAATTCATTCTGAATGACGTAGATTTTCTGCTCAGTTGAAAATATTTCATGTAATTGAACAAAATAATTAGAATCCGATTGTCGTTGTTTTTCACACAAGAATCGTTGACATTTTGTTGAGTGATCGAGATTCATTCTGAAAAAAATACAAAAAAAAATGAGAGATGATAAATGTGATTATTGGTTAAAAAATCAAAATTTTTATACCTAATTTCATTTGGAATTTTCGATAAAACCGTTACACGACAAACAACCTGTTTATCTTGAAATTGTGCCCGATACAATGCCCATGATTGACCGGATTTAACGGCGTTACGTGTAAATTTCAATCGATAACGTGTTTCCAGTAGTGTTTCATCAGTTATTCGTATCATTCCATTGGCTTTAACTAATGGAACTATTTCTCGTTTAAGTGTTTCGATTCGTTTCTGATCAGCAGCGGCCAACAATATTTTCATCTGATCTTCAAAACGTTGCCGTCGTTCTTTACATTGTTGTTCAAATATTTCACGATCACGTGCCAATTCCTGGTCGATACGTCCACGATTTTTTTCCATTACCTCATTATTCTCACCGTCACTAGCCGTTTCATTTGTTGATAATGATTGATAACGATTCTTATTCAATGTATCGATTTTAGATTCAACTTCTTCTTTTAATTTCCCAATTTCAATTTCTGTACAATTTTCCATATAAGTTTTCTCCATTGCAATCTCTTTTTCCATATGTTCTTCCAATAATCGACATTCTTCTTCATATTGTTTTCGTAATTTATTCTCATCATCATGAAAATCTTTACGTAAACGTTCGATTTGTTCTTCCATTTTTGTTGCTGTTGTTGTTTAACGACGTTCCTCTTTTTTTCGAAAAAATGTCCCGTTAAAAAAATAATCAAAATAATCGTTTAAAAAGAATTCAAAAAAAAAATTACTTCACAATTTAAAGGAATAATAATGATTTCCTCCATCACAAATTCATTCATTATTTATATGCACGAATAATATTAATAACATTTTATGAAAAGTTAATTTAATTTTAATGAAAATTAAGTTTTTAGAAATTATTATAATACAAATTTTGACTTTGATTGTTTCAAAATATCGAAACAATAGTATTGCGTATGAGATTAAGGGCAACATTATTATCATAATTACAAACATATAGCAAATGTAATGCACCATCACCATTGATACCATAATCGAATGCTTGACGTACGAACATATCAACTGAAATGAAAATTTCAGGGGTCTGAAAAATTTTTATTGTAAATTGAGAAAAAAAAATATTACCTGCATGATCATCGATTCGATCGGGATTAGGTTTCCATAATAATATACTATCATCATCATCATCGCCATTGTCTGTGGTTTATGGAATATTTCAATTTTAAATGGATTCATTAACATCGATTCATTATCTTCGAAAAACTTACCAGGTGGAGGACCGTTATGGAATTCCGGTATATTGGCCAATTGATTTTCAGCATTTGGTACAAAATTTTCTATAGAAAATTAAAAAATAACGAAAAAATAAATTGAAACAACAAATTTGAATCACAACAGACCATCATTACCATCAATTATCATGTTTGGTGATTGTTGAAATTCTTGTTCATTATAATGATGATCACTTTTTGAATAAGTCATTTTTTACATTTGTTACAATTCTGCAAATAATTAAATCTTTCCAAAAAAAAATATTCGATCAAAACAAACATCAAAACATTTTTCCGGAAAATATTCCAAAGAATAAAAAATTTTTATTTTTATGGAAAGTTTCCCAGTATTCTATAGGACCGATGAACCAAGTGGGTTTTTCTGTTATTAAATAAATAAATGGCATTATTGCTACTTTGAAAAATTTAAATACATTTATCATTTCGAAAACCTCTTAATGATTAAAAATTCATCATCATTGCTTATTAAATTCTTATTAATTGTTGCAAATAATAAATAAATCACATTTAAATCGAGACAAAAAAAAATAAAAACTTTTCTTTTACAAAAATATCGTTTCAGATTTTGGAATTAATCGAATCAATCAAAATAAAAATGGAGAAAACAAAATTATACAGGCTTTTCATTGTTTCAATTTTTGCAAAAAATAAATAAATAAATATGAATGAATGAATTAAATAAAGCACATTTTGGCCATTGTTGACATATAATTTTCATAATGATGATGATGATTATGATGACTTGAATGCTGATGATTTCGTAACATATCTGAATTAGTCGATACATTTTTACAATGTTGTTGATCAACAATTGTTGTTGTTGAATAATCACCAGTTTCAATAGATTTTGTTGTTGTTTGATTAATTTGATTTTTAATTCTCCATAGATATGTAATCTGTTCCTGTATGATTTGCCAATAATTTATTGATAATTTATCGATTATCTGTGACGATGATGATGATGATGATGATGACGAAGATAGATATTGTAATAAATCTTCAAAACAATGAATCGATTCATCAATATTATTCTGTTTATGCCATAATACACATAGATTATGTTTGGCTTGTATATTATTACGATCAATACGATCTAAAATCAATTGATAATAATATCTAGCCCGATCATATTGTCGTAATTCTTCCGAATATAATTCGGCTAAAATAAACATTGAATTCATATGTTTTGGATTGATCAGCAAAACTCGTTGAAGATGATCGATTGCTTCATGTAATTGTGCCAATGATTGTTGTTGTTGACCAATGTTGGGCGTTGTTGGATTCATTTCTTTCACCAATAATAATGCTAAATTATAATGTGCTTCGGCAAATGATTCACGTTTTGCAATAGCTTTTTCAAATAAACGTTTAGCTCGAGCAAAATGTTGATTATTGATTGCCAATGTAGCCAGATTAAAATATATAGACTCATCATCTTTTCCCAAACGTATTAAATGATCGAAACGATCATAGGCAATATGTTTTAGTTGGTCCAAATGTTCATCCTGTATAATACGTGCTGATGTCAGCAATGTATCCACATGATTTGGATTCATAGATAATACACGTTCAAAATAATTGAACGCCTCTTTTAGCCGGCCTTGTTGATAATGGACCACACCTAACTGTATGTTTTTTTTTTCGGGAATATTTTGATTAATTTGTCCGTTTTTTCAAACAGTTCGTAGAAGACGGAAAATATAACATAACGAGAATGAAAATGAAAAAAGGTCAATATCAAGAGAAAAAAAGTCCATACAATCCATATATACTTACATTATATAATTGATCCAATTGGATCGATGATAATACATTATTATTATGACGATGATTACATTCTTGATCACTAGATGTCGCCAATAGTGATAATGGATCAAATAGAAATTGTGTTTCAATCAATTTATCCTGTATTATTTTCAAATCATTTTGTCTAGTTGAATCCAATGATAATAATTCTGTTAACCGTATCAATACGGTTAGATATAATGGTGATAATGATAATCGATCGATTTCAATCAATGATGATGGTTGTAGATATTGTTGTTGATCAAATTGATCTAATGCTTGTCGATAGATTTGTTCGGCTAATCGTGTATCATTGAAATGTTTGTGATAAATATTTCCAAGATTCAAATAGCTACGTAAATCGTATGGTTCAATACTATTCATTTGTTTGTTTGAAATGTTGATTGCAATTGAAAAGTAATTGATTAATTAATAAAATTGGAATAACAAATAAAATTTTGCCTACCTAATCGCTTTCCTATACAATTCGATTGCTATTTCCGATGAATTTTCTTTCATCGTCGAAGCCGTAGTAGTTTCATAAAGACGTCCTAAATTATTCAATAGTTTTGTATTACGTGGATTAACTTTGAGACCAGATTCATAGAGAGCGAATTCATTTGTCCTAATTATATAAATGAATGAATGAAATGAATAGAAAAACGGTAAAATAAATTTCGAAACAAAATTAATGAATTAAATCCAGCAAATAACACATACCAATCGAATGAACGTAAAAATGTTTTAGCTGAAAATATAACTACTAACATAATGGTGGCGATTTGTATTGGATGAATTTTCCATTTTACATTTCGATTTTCATTATTCGTAACAAAGGAAGACAACGATGTGTGATAAAAATGTGATGTAGTACTATCAACATTACAAGCCGAAGATTTATGACAAGGTTGTTGATGACAATAGGTTCCTTCTCCTTCTTTACCGACAACAACATTATGGTCACATCTCGTTGATGATGTTTGTCGTCGTTTGTACAACGAACTGTTTTCCATTTGATTCAAAATCAGAAAAAAAAATTCAGGAGTAAACGGAAATTTTTTTTTCATTTTTTTTTTTTTTTTGATTTTCATTCCATTTGAAAAACATTTTGTTTGGTAGAAACAAAAAAAGGTCCCATGATGATGATGATGATGATGATGTCGGTGGCAGTGTTGGCGGTGATTTATTATTAAGAAGAATAAAAAAGGAAGAAAAAATATTGGGAGAAAAAAAACAGAATAAGAAAAATGGAATAAGAGAAAGAGAAAAAAGAAAATTTGAAAAAGAATGAGAAATGATTCTTGAATGTAAAGAGAAAAAAAAGTAGTACGAAAAAGAGAGGAAGAGAGAGAGAGAGAAACTGAAATTTTGTCGAAGAAATAAATGTAAAAAACACAGAAAAAACACAAAAGAAGAATATTCTTTCATTTGAAATAGGCAAGAAAATGAAAAAAAATAATGGAATCTTTTCTATTTTAGATTGTGGATTCAAATCTTTGGAAAGGAATTTTTTTTTATCTAAAGTCTATTTCTCTCTCTCTCTCTCTCTCTCTCTCTCTCTCTCTCTCTCGTAGATTTTCAATATTATTATTATTATTATTATACATATAAACTTACAATAACGATGACAACAATGATGATGATGGCAATGGAAATGGAAATGTATTATAAAATAATAATAAATAATCGATACCGAAACCGAATAATAATAGGAAACCAATCGATGGTAGATAAAGTATACGTTCGGCCAATACAAATCCAACCGGAAACAATATATTCGATACGGGTATGAATGGTATTATTGTTAATGATAATGATAATAATATCATAGTCATCATTGTCATCATCGATTGATTTTCATATTGTTGATTGTTATGGTTATTTTGAATTGTTTTTGTTGTTGTTGTTGTTATCGATGTTTTTGATTTTGTTTTCGATTTCAAATTTCTATCAATGATTATGTTGTTGTTGTTGTTGTTGTTATTGTTGTAGTAAAAGTGTTTGTGACCATTACCATCATTCATATAGAATTGATTGTCAAATATTTTACCATCATTGTTATTTTTGTTGTTGATGTTATCATTAATGATAGAATGATGTGATGCTTTCAACATATTCCGATATCTATATCGTTGTTGTTGTTGTTGTTTTTGCTGCCGAAGTATCAATAGAATCCATTTGTAAACATAAACAATGATTGTTGTAAAACAAACAATAACCATCATGATACGATAATAAAGGTATTGATCATTATTATCTCTATTAGATTTTGATTGATAATCAATAAGATTCAATGATGAATGTGTCCAATCACAGCTTAAATGTTGTGGATAAAACATAAGCCAATAATGATATAATATCAGATAACCATATGTTAGATGACGACTTGGCCACGGCATACGTGATGCTGGATTATCAAATCTATATATATATATAAAAGTTTTTATTTTATTCAAATGAAATCCCTTCAAAATAGGATGATCTCCAAAAGATGATTGTCATGTTCTGTGTTTTAGTTTTTATAGTTTGTGTGTGAATTTTAAAGAATGTTAATTGATATTTTTGTTTGTGTATATTAATTTTCAGATAACTAAATTATTGGTTGTGTTTAAATGTTTGGAATTTATAAAAAATATTATCATTTAATTTTAATAATGTTACATGCCCTCCCCAAGAAAGTTCCTAGGGATAGTTTTGTAGGTTCGGTATTATGATCAACATGATTAACGTTTGTAGGATATTCCATATTTCTTGTAGAACGACAAAACTTAGACCACAAGACCATCATGATGACGATAACATTAGGCAATACGATCAGACTGATCAAAGCGCATAACATTAGCTCAAGTTTGGTCCAGTTTGATTTTACCATGATTTTATTGTTTGAATATCGGTGGTATTTACTTTGTTCGCATTGTTCTCTACGGAAAATATTCGGTTGTATATCTGATTCCATCAAACAATCACATTTTGAATTGTCAAACATGCATCGGAGTTTATTATACCATAAAAACCCTTGATCTTCCCCCATCTCTTGAATGGTTTTAAGGGGATATCCAGTTCCGGTTATTTGCGTTTGACGTAAAAATGTCTTCAATTGAGGTTGTACTTTATTTAGTTTGTCATTGAACTTTGACAATTCTTTCATTACATTTTCAATATTTGTCAAAGATATGATACGTTCATTCAAATGATCGGTAAATTCTTGAATAAGTTGATTTTGATTTTTCAATATTTTTTCGACTTGAGAAAATTCATCATTTGATTGTTTTGGAATGACGGGATTAGCCACCGGTGTCATGATTGGACGTACAATCAAAAAAAACATTAAAAAGATGATAATTGTTATCAACGAATGATATCCTATTATCTTCTTGATTTGAGATTCCATTACTTTTTCTGTAGCACACTTTCCTTGAATATCCACGATTTTATGCTGCAATTCAACAACTTTGGACAAACATTCGTACAATGAATCAATCTTTTGTTGATTTGGACAAATTTTTGTTTCAACATAAGTGTCTTCGACAGTGGTTTTTTCTGTAAGAATTTTTCCAATTTTAGGTTTAATTTTTGCTGAAACCTTTCCATTTTGTTGTGACGAATATTTTTGTTTTTCAGTTGGTTTATGTTCAGCTTCAACATGATAGCAATTTTTACTGATTTTGCTAGTTTTTGATCGTTGTAAAAGTTGCATCGGAATTAATTCATTATCACCTGGGAACAACGTTATCTTGAATCCATGAATATCGTTACGTCCTAACAATATTGGTATGTCATCATCATCTACAAGTTGGAAAACAACTTTGCGTTTTATCGTTCCCAACTTCATGTTAGCCATACAAGCTTGAAATGATTTAAATCGATGTTCGGTTACTTTTATCGAAATTTTTCTCTTAAAAACATTAAGTTTCAACTTTTTGCATTGTAATTTTGAAATAATATTGATGTTTGAGCCCGGATCTAATAGAACTGTAACTTCTTTATCATTTATGTGGGCACATGTCAATATCTGCGATATGGATTTTTTCTTCTTGTTATTGACAGAAAAACATTCACCTTGTTCATGATCTGACTCCTCTGAATTTTCAGGAGTATCCAAATTATTTAACTTTGTTGCTGTGGCACCAATTGAATTTATCAAATTTGGCTTTGCTTGTTCTTTTGTCATATCATTATTTGGTCGTTGTTTCATTTGCGACCTCCAATTTTGGTTCATAGGACAATTAATCAATTTATGTGAACCATTACAGCTTGTACAATATTCCATATTTTTGCAAAAACGGGATGTATGTCCCGGTTGGAAGCAAGCGGAACAGAGCCCTGCTTCCCGTGCTAACTGTTTTCTTTCAGCAAATGTCTTAACCCGATTACAATTCTTAGTTGAATGGGTACTATCACCACAAAAATTACAGGAATTTTGAAATTCTTGAAGTGAATCTTTTGTATTTCTTCCAAATTTTTTGTTATTTACCAAAAAAGGATCTGCATTGTCTTGCAATCTATTCACGACATCTTCAAGATATTTGATCACTTTTTCGATATTATCATTGTCTTGTCTTTCTTCCAAAATGGAAAGCCTTATTGGTGGAAGCTTTCCCTTTATTTGTTTTGTAAGCAAAGTGACCGTAAAAGCATCGGCACCAGCTCTCTTTAGATTTAAATATGAACTTCGTGCTGATATCATTATTCGTCGAAATCCATCTAAATCCTGATCATCTTCGGGTGGCTGAAGCTCTGCAAATTTTTTCAAAACATCATTTTTTAACGCAAACATTGAATGAAAATGTCGTAATAATGTCTGTTTGGCATTTTCATAATCATCATCACCGGAATAACCATCCAGCCATGTCCTTGTTTTTGCGTCCAATTTCGATTTCAATATTTGTAACTTTGTTGCATCGTCCAAATCGGTTTTGTCAACATTGTTACAGAAAGGTTGGAAAAAATCGTTAAAATTCCTGAAATTGCCATCAAAATTGTTTATGAATTGCACTCTGTTTGCTTTAAATGGAATGCGTCTTTCGGTGAAATTTCGTATTGGTTGATTTACATCGTGATTTTCATGTGATTGAAATGCCATTCGAGGGCGAGGTTCTGACAGGAAATGTTGATGATTTAGCAAACTTTCATTCGATAATTGCCGATTTAATTGTTGATTATCTCTAGGTTGCCAAGTACCATTTGAAATAGAATGTGTCAACAATTCCCCCGTCTCCATCGCAGAAATCGGTCGAGCCTTCAATCTCTGAACATTTTGATGATTGACAATATTCATCATCGACTGAGATCGTTGAATTGATTCTACATGAGCCATAGTATTCTTTGAATTGTACAAACCCTCTTGATCCATTGCATTGAATTTTTGTTGCAAGTAATTCAAGATGGTTTTGGTTTCACTTGATTCAATTTTCAAAGTTGCACAATCATATCGTTCAGCATATGTCTGAGTGAATTGGTTGATATCTTTCTCATATAACTCCATTCGCAACATCAATTGAGCGAATTCATACGTAAATTGGAGCTCACTGATTTTTTTATCTTCCAATTCTTGATAAATCGTTTTCAATTTTGATTCAAAAATTTTCTTGCACTTTAACAATTGTTGAAATTGTTGATCTGGTATACTTTGGGAAACTTGCATTTTGTTACAAATTCAGCACTTATTTCCCCTGGTTTTCTTGATCAATTTCTTGTTGTTTCACTTGAATATCAAACGTTGCACAAGGGATTTTGATCCTGCTGGCTTATAAAAGTTTTTATTTTATTCAAATGAAATCCCTTCAAAATAGGATGATCTCCAAAAGATGATTGTCATGTTCTGTGTTTTAGTTTTTATAGTTTGTGTGTGAATTTTAAAGAATGTTAATTGATATTTTTGTTTGTGTATATTAATTTTCAGATAACTAAATTATTGGTTGTGTTTAAATGTTTGGAATTTATAAAAAATATTATCATTTAATTTTAATAATGTTACATATATATATATTCAATTCAAATGAAATGAAATAATAATGAAAATTACAACAGTGAAAACCAAGACGAAAAAAAAATTAAACCTAAAACATGCTAAAATAATCTACGATCAATGGTCAAGCAAAAAAAAAAAAAAAAAATGAATGAATGAATGAATGATTAAAAGAGAAGCAGAAGTAGAACGAAAAAAAATTGAATAAAATAAATGTATTCACACAAACACACCATACACATTGAACGAAATTATCTCTACTAAACGATATTGATATGTGGGTGGAAAAATGGGGAAGTGGAAAACTCTCAATTTTTTTTTGCAACCAACATTTGTATAGAGAGAAATGTAAAGCAAAAAAAAATTACCATAAAAAAGCAATAATTCAGTATATGGAGTAAAGGGAAAAAAGAATGTCCAGAACAAACGAGATTTGAATGAATGAATGCCGACCAAACATAGTGAAAGAAAAAAAAATGGCCAATATTTTTTTTCACTGTTTCTGGTAAATGATATTCGTCAGATTTGTTGTTGCCTGCCTGATCCATTTGGGTTTATCAACAACAACAAAAACAACAACAACAACAAAGACGAATAAGTATGTGTAATGCATATGTTTTATTTCCTTTTTTCTATTTGTTGCCTGGTTCATATTTTATTTTTGATTCCATTCATCTTGGAATCAGAGAATCTGGTATTCAGAAAATTTTTAAACAAAAAACCTGCCAGATGACCTTATTTTTGCGTTTATCATTTTACAAACAGTATGTGTGTGTGTGTGTGTGTCATATATAACAAAAAATATATATAGAGACCTTGAGATGATCAAGGATTTTGTCTGCGCCGTTGTCTATTGAAGATAATTTATTTATTTATTTATTTTTTATTCAAATAATAATTCAAAGAATTTAAAAATTAAAAAAAAAAATTGAACGACAACAAAAAGAAGAGAAAAAAAATGAAATTTAATTTCAAACATCAACAAAACATTTGTGGAAAAAAAATAAAAGTTTTGTTTTTCCTTTCGACAAAAAATGAGAAAGATGGAAAAAAATAAAATGAAAATTCGGCACATACTGACAACAATAACGACAACAGCATATAATACCCGGACCATTGTGAACCTTTTAAATTTAATTGATGTTTCATTTCTCTCTCTCGTTGGTTGTTTGGTTGGTTGGTTGTATATAGTGAACATATTATGATAATAATAATGAGAGTATTGCAAATGAGACAGAAACACACACAAAAAGAAATGAATTAAAATGATTCAATCATTGATATTTGAATATTTTTTTTTTTTTTTTCTTCGTAAAAGGTGATGGTGTTCTTCAAACCAGAGAGGAAAAAAAAGAATTACGAAAAGAAAAAAAATGATGGAAGATAAAAACACACTCAGACACACACACACACACACACACAGAACCAGACATTCATTCCATCACGAATCTCTGTTGGGAATATTTTATTCACTCTCTCTCTCTCTCTTCGTGTGAGCATAAGAGAAAAAACTTTTTTTTTCTTTCTCATTTTCCATTCTTCAATTTATTCCTTGTGATTCTAAAATGGAAAAATAATATGAAAAAAAATTCTAGCACTCTAAAATTCCATTGAAAACACGAAGGAATAAAATGAAGAATCGTCCGAATCTTTTACTTTTTTTTGTTATTGCTCAAATTAGCTATATACTACTACTATTTTTTTCTGGTACTGGGTAAATATCATTTGACATCTTTCATTCTGGTTTGTTCACTCACCATTCATTCATTTTATACTAATGAGACTTTTGAAAGAGAAAAAAAACATTTATCTGGAATATAATCAAGATTCTCAAATTTCAAGAATTCATCTTGTTATCCAAATATATAGGAATGTCGAATGGTTAGGAAATAGTAATTTGGATTGTTTTTTTTTCATTTACCTGTTAAATATTGGTAACGAATAGTCCATCATTATAAAACGTATATACGTTGCTATTATAAACACGGCCGCTAATATAATGATTATTCTTAATTTTGTTCTGGTCATAATAATCATCAATGGTAATGATGATGATCCATAGTTTATTGATGACGATGAGGATAATGATGTGAAAATGGATCGATGTTTTCGTCGTCGTTGTTGTTGTTGTTGTTGATATCTTTGTCGAATTATCTTATTATCATGATGATGATGATGATCATAATCATTATTGTTGTTGTTGTTGTTATTGATGAATAAATGATTAATAGCTAAATATATCAATACAAATATTGCTTGTTCTTTACAAAGAAATCCAAATAAAGCCATTATTATTGATAATAATCGATGATATTTATCAATAAATAATTGTAATTGTGACCACAAACACCACCATCGATATGATGATAGTAATTGTGATTGTTTTTCATCTTGATTATAATTCGATTCATTTGTAAAAGATTTCAATGTTCTTGTAATTGTTGATGTTGAATTTTCGGAATAATCCCATAATAGTATGGATGATAGATAAAATATTGCCGACAATAATTCAGCACGGCCAACTATCGAACAAACCTAATTATAATAATTATTGAAAAATGAAAAAGAAAAATTAATCAAAATAAACAAAAAAAACACATTGAAAGAAAATTCAATCATATAAACTCATAAATAACGTAACCAAAAGAAGAAAAAAAATTTTTTCAATGGCCATTGCCATCGTAATCATCATCATCAATATAGAATAATGTAAATCATTTCGAGCAATGATTATGACATTTTCATGCCAAATGTCCATAAGTTTTTCTCTCTCTCTCTCTCTCTCTCTCTGTGTGTGTGTTTAACCTTTATTCTTTGCGGAAATGATTCTGATCATTTATTATGCTTTGCCAGAAAAAAATGGGAACCCCAAATTCTCAACCAAAAAAAAAAAAAAAAACAAATAAATATATTGAATGTCGATTATCTTGATGAAGGTGAAAACACATAACGATGAAGATGATGACCATCCCGGGTATGAAAATGAAACCAACCGAAACGGTTAGTTTCATATTTTTTTTGTTGTTGTTGTTTGGGCTAACTAACCAAAAGGAAAAAAAACGAAATTAATTTTAATCAAACCAAACATTTTTTTTCTCTCTTTCTTTCTTTTTTTTTTTTGGTGCTAAACTAGAAATGTAAAAAAAAACAAAATAAATGAATGGTGAATGATTCTCGCGAATCATCGTTGTGATATAGAAAAATGAACATTGGTCATTCATTCATTTTTTATCCCGAATTTCATTTATCAGAATGTAAAAAAAAAAATGAACGGATAGAGAGCGGGAGAGAGAATATTTCATCGTCAGTTTTTGTTCAACATGACAGGCGTCTACATTGCCAATTTGAGAATTTGGAACCAAAAAAAAAAAAAAAAATCATCACACCCATCTTCCTACGCCTCTATATATAAATATGATTATTGAAACTTTTTCCTTTTTAGTTTTTCCATTCGTTTTTCTCTGTTTCAAGTTTCGAAAATCGAAACGTGACATTCGATACTCTGGTTGTTAATTTTTTTTTCGTTTGCTTATTTTATTTTCTAATAAATGGAAAGCTTGAATTTGAAAGCAAGCTTCCTGAGCTATTATATATGCATTCATTTCATTTTGGTTCATTCTTTATTCGGTTATTGGCATCAACATCATTTTTAGCTTTAGCGAGAACTGTAAAAAAATAAAGTAGAAACAGAAACAACAAAACCCAATGATGATGATGATGATGATGATAGGAGAAAGAACAAAAAAAAAAAAACAATGACAGCAATTCTGTTTTCTGTTTCCATCGTTAAGCACGAATTTGTTTTGTTTTTTTTCATTCTTGAAAATTCTGTGTGTTTTGTCTGATTGTCTTTACAATATAAAAAAAAGAGAATCATAAATGAATAAATGATGGACGACGAAAGTTGCAGTTTGATAAAAGTGGAAAGAAACCAGGGTGAAAAAAAATACAGAAACACATACACACACACACGAAAACCAAATCCAAAAAAAAAAAAAATCAAAAACAACAAAAAGAAAATATCAAACAATATTATCGGTTAGTTGGTTAGTGAGTAAAAGAAGAAGAAGAAAAAAAATGACAAACCAAATCATTTTTCTATTCACATTTAATTTTGGTGAATAAATCAAATTTTCACTTTTCATCATCATCATCATCAACATCAACATCAAACTGTCATCTTAATTATTATTATTAAAAAATAACAATAATATAATTCTCACATATATTCTAAATTCAAAACTCATTCTATCATTTTTATATCAAATAAAAATTGTCAACATTTATTATTATCATATAAATATAATATTATATATGCATAGTTTATGATGCTATATTGATATAGCAAACAAACAAAACAAAATAGAAACATTTGACAATCATGATTGTGATAATAACACATTTTTTTATTCTCTCTCTCTTTCTCTCACATACGATATGATAATTATCATCATTATTATTATGCAATATTGCAATAATAACCATATAACGCACACACACACACACACATCTCTTCTCATATATAAACTGTCATTGGGTGGTGTAGAATTTAAATGAATCATGTTTCTTTTTGGAAAAATGAAACTTTTTTTTTGTTCCCAAACAAAACAAAAAAAAATCCAAGAATATCAACGAAACGAAGAAGATGGAAAAGAAAATTTACCATTTTCATACGTTATGTGTTAAGAAACGACTGCATAATAGTCATGATTGCATTATTACACGTCAACGATATAATCGAACTAAAATTTAATTCTATGTTCTAAAATGTATTTAATATTTCAATGAAAAACTTATTCTAATTGTATTTTTAGTTTTGGCGATGTAAGCCACTAAATAATAAACTAAACAAATTTCAATAAGACGAGACCATTAGTAGGTCTGATAAATTCATTGTTATTGTCCAAAAATTTTATTTTCACTGCTCGAACAACACCATCAGAACTTTTAATTGCTTCAGTAATTTTGGCTATTGGCCAATCTTTTCGTTTACGGAATTCAGAAGGAACCAAGACCAAATCGTTTATATTTATATCGGTAGGCGATGGAGGATTAGATTGAATTAGAGAAGCTAAGTATTGGTGTTTCCAAAATTTTTCAAATTTTTTACGAATATTTGACAAATGATTCAACCAATTATTGTTTGGTCCAATTTCGAGATCATTTTTGATTAGGGGCTCCTGTTTACGACCATATGCTAATTCAAAAGGAGAGATCCAACGTTCATCATTCTGGATAATCGGTCTATTATTTATAATCGATTCTATTTTCAAAAACATGTTGTGCGCATCTTCAATAGATTTAAATTCATTGTCCAAAGTTCGTAAACATCTCTTGACGACTGCTATCAACCGTTCTGCAGTACCGTTATACCACGGAGCATTCGGAGGCGAAAATTTCCATTCGATACGACGATTATCTACTTCGCTAATTTTTTGTAAATGATCAAAAAATTTTTGAATTTCTTTGTTACAACGGACGAAACTGGTACCATTGTCACTATAAATCACTAAAGGAGTTCCGCAACGAAGAAAGATGTTGTTGAGAGCTGTCAATGTGACATTGGCATTCATCGAATTAACAATTTCGATCTTGATCATTCGTGTAACCAAACATGTTACAATCAAACCATAGAATTTTTTATTATTACGATAGTGTAAAGGACCAAAGAAATCGACACAAATAGCCTCAAACGGTGCCGCAAAATTCGTTCGTGTTGATGGTAAAGGAGCGAAAGGTTGAATTATAGGCTTCCGCTTTTCTTTTCGACAAAATTCACAATAAAAAACATATTTCTTCACCAGGCGATATAAATTCTGTATATGATATTTAGATTGGATACTAGCCATGGTTGTTCTGATTCCTCCGTGCATAGTTGATTCATGATGTTCTTTAATCAAAGCTTGAGTTAAACAAGATTGTTTAGGTATCCAAATCGGGCAAAAATTAGGATCACGAGTTTTTATCGTAATAATTTCTCCGGGAATGAATGGTAATTTAATTTCTTCCAAATCGTGACCATATTGGGCTAATCTATGAATCAAATTCCAACGATCATTAGCAGTGTTTCCAGTTGGTAATAATTTTTTCACGAAATCAATAATTTGATCCATAGACTTCAACTTTTCAAAATCGTCAACTGAATTCTGATAATCGAAATTCTTGATGGCAATTGAAGAAATTCGATAAACATTAAACAAATTTGCATCAGAAAAATCAAATTCATTCGAATTTATACGAAATCGGAAAAGTTTCAAAAATTGTTTCGTATCTACGATTCTACTGAACAGATCAGCTGGATTACGATGGCCATTAATGTGTCTGATCGATATATTCAAATCATTAATAATTTTCAGTTTTCATTAATTGAGAAGCAATTTTTCGATTCTGTCCATTTGGTGATAGATTAAAACGACACAAATTAATTTTGGAATCTGACCAGATTGTCATTTTATTCTGGTAAATAGAATGGATACGATATAAAATTTTGCCAAGTTCGTAGATAGCCAGTAATTCTAATTCTACCACTGTCTTTAATTTACATGGTACTAACTTTGATTTTCCGAATAAATAGTGGAATTCATCATCTTTTTTCAAAAATACGACATATCCATAAGCTGAAGTTGATGCGTCAGAAAATCCGTGTATTTCGCCATTCGATGGTACACATCGATCCATTTTCAATTTCGATAGCTGATTTGCATCTTGCAAATGCAGATCGATTTGATTTTTAATTTCATTCGAAATTGGACTATCCCATTCATTTTTTATGACAGTACGATATAAGAGACGCAATTTCAATTTCCAAGGATCAAAAATTCCATATGGATCGAAGAATTTACCAATAATTGCTAGCAAATCTCTCTTTGTTTGAACCGGCTGTATTTGTGGAATTACATTCGAAATTTGATTATTATTGGTACAAATTTATCATTTTACTAAACGTTTACTTTTGTTTGTCTGAATCGTCTAGTAATTTCAGAGATAGATTACGTTACAGTTATGATTCCAGGAAAATATTCTCTTTTTTTTTTGGTGTGATATTGTTTTTTTCCCTCTATCATCATTATCATCATCTAGAATCTAGATGATTTGATTTTTTTTTTCATTGAATTGAATAAATGAATGCAACAATAGAATGTTGAAAGAAAACAACAATAACAAACAAAATATTAATAATAACCAAAATAGAGTGGAAAAAAAACGACTCGAAAATCTAAATCAACTTGACAAAACGAAAACCACACCGTATATATTAAGAATATAGTTTTTTTTTCTTTTTATCCATTCTGTTTTGTTCTTTTTGTGTCTGTGTGAGTGTGTGTGTGTGTGTGTGGGTTCACCGTCTTTTTCTCTTCAAAACCATTTTTGGTTTGTGTGTGTGTGTGTGTGTCTGTGTGTGAATAGGATCATGGATCTCAGATCATGGTAATAATATAATCGTGTGTTTTGGGTTGAGTGTGTGTGTGTGTGTGTTGTGAGTGATAATGGTGGAGAGACAGAGAATAGAAAAAAAGCCACAGAATCACAATAGGATTTTTTTTGTTCTGCTTTGATATTTTACTTTTCCAGTTTTTCAATATCGGTATTCTGTTGTTATTGTTATTAATATAATTTATGAATGATGAAGGATGATGATGATGATAATGATATTATCATTTTCTTTTCTACTTGTCGTTTTGGATCAAAACACCACACAATTGTGCGTCATTTAATTTATAATAACCATGGGAGAATATTTTGTTGCATATATACCAAAAAAAAAACGAGCCAATCTTGGCAATTGTGTTGTGTTTAAATTTTGTCGATTTTTTTTCCACTTCTTTTTTTCCTACCGCTATTCACCATTATCATTTTTACAGAATGAATGAATGAATGAATGAAAAAATGACGTTCATATCGGAAAAGTTTTAATTAAAATTTTAATTTTCTCCATGGAACGCACACACACATACACACACACACACAATGCACAAACAATAGCATATACAGACAGAAAATGAGAAAAAAAAATCATCCATTTAATCAATCGATGAATTGATTATCACCACATATATATTGACAATGAATTGAAAATAATGAAAAGAAACAAAAATGGTCATTGACAGCAATAGAATATTCACGAATTTTTTTTTTGTATAAACCGGCAACAACAAAAAAAAAATTCTGTTTTCCTTTCGTACAGCCCACCATTATAATATTATGTCAATAATCATCATCATCATCGTCATAATTAAACAACAAAAAAAAAACACCGAAAAATTCTTTGAAATGGGCGAATGAAACGAGAAAAAAATATATATATGTCATGTTCTTGGCCTCTATCACTTGATTTATGAACGGATCCCAACCGTGGAACCGTCAATTTTCTTTAAGCAACAGATGGATCGTGAACAATGGAATGGTTGGCTATCATTCGGACGGAGCAGTTTAATCTGTTCATTGTTCACGAGTCGATACGTACCAACCGACCAACACCTGGCTATAACGATAATCAATCAAAACGCATGGAAATGCCATGAAGTCTATTGTTAATGAGACCGTGAGATATTTCCATCCAACATATCTGCCAGGATTATCGACATCTGTTGATACCGGGACCTAGAGTCCTAGCCATAAATCAGTGAGAACAAAAGAGAGTCATCCTTAAACAACAAATGGTCATCCGCTTGACCAACGACATTTGGCACCGAGAACAAAGGACTGACGGGCAATGAATCAAACTGTTGCCCGAACAACAATGGAATTGGACACTCCTGGACACATGGAACAAAAGCCCATTATGATTTCTTGGTTACAATGGAACAATGGGTTTCCTGTCAAAACTGACAGCGTCCGCACCTGGTCTGCCAACCCTCTGTCCCGAAATGTCATTTGAAACGACCGAAAGTATAAAAACGATTGGCAAATCGCCAATCGAGGCCTTCGAATCTCATTTGGAATTTAGTGCTTGTTGCATCAAGATCACTATTAAAATCCAACTCGAGTGCCCGTCTAGCTGAAGTCGAGCGACTAAATACCAAGATCGCCATCGGCTAGATCGTCTCATCATTTCATCTTCAATTTTCGACTAATTATTCTTCGACCTCCATGGTTGACGCATTTCGATGAATTCTATCTCTATAGAATTTATTGACCATCTCACTTAATCTTCAATTTTCGACTAATTATTCTTCGACCTCCATGGTTGACGCATTTCGATGAATTCTATCTCTATAGAATGTATTGACCATCTCACTTAATCTTCAATTTTCGACTAATTATTCTTCGACCTCCATGGTTGACGCATTTCGATGAATTCTATCTCTATAGAATTTATTGACCATCTCACTTCATCTTCAATTTTCGACTAATTATTCTTCGACCTCCATGGTTGACGCATTTCGATGAATTCTATCTCTATAGAATTTATTGACCATCTCACTTCATCTTCAATTTTCGACTAATTATTCTTCGACCTCCATGGTTGACGCATTTCGATGAATTCTATCTCTATAGAATTTATTGACCATCTCACTTCATCTTCAATATTCGACTAATCACTTTCTTCGACCTCCATGGTTGACGCATTTCGATAAATTCTATCTCTATAGAATTTATTGACCATCTCATTTCATCTTCAACATTCGACTCAACAATCCCTTTTCTTTCACAAAACTAATCGACACTTTCATCATATAAATTCTATTTAATCTATTGTATCTTCAATCGAATGATTTATATCCACAAATAAATAAAATAATTTATCGAACATTCATCCTTAATCGTTAAATAAATTTCCTTGTTATTAGTGAGGTTGGCGACTTAATATTCATTTCCAGTGTCATGAAAATCCCCATCAGCTGCACCCTAGAATCCTGTATTGAGTGACATTCACAAATACAGTGAAATCTAGAAAGGATCTAGTACATGACAAGCCAACAGGATTGTGAAAATCATTTTCCCAACTTCCGCTAATAATTACTATCATCAACGATTTTCAATCAACCGTCACAACACAAAATATAATCATTATCATCACATCACAACAAAACATCTAATATCAACCACTACATTTTCCTTTTCCTTCGAAACAACATTATTCATTCTACCATTTTTTCTTTTCTCAATCAAATATTTTCACTATATAATCAAACATTTTATCCAACTATCATATATCATATACAAAACTAATCTCCACATAATACCATCTCCGTCAACTACCATCATCCATAACCGTTTCGCACTCAGCAACACGACAAATCAGACAACATTTTCAACATGACAGATACAAACAGTTCGCACAATCCACAAGAACTGACCGAACAACAAATACGCGAAATCAAAGATGAATTGAACCTGGTCCAACGTATGCTAGACCATAAAATAAAAAGGTTTCCCTCTCAAACAACCGAAGACCAACTGACGACAATGAAAGGGGAAGCCAAATTGTTCAAAGAGATCATCGATCGTCACATGAAACACTATCCAGACGGAAGGCCGACAAACCCAAACCTTCCGCGAATTGAAATACTAACGGAAGCAATAAAACAGCCCTGCTATACCGCAACGAAATTAAAACAGACTGAAACCATTTGAAGCAGCTAGAGAAATACCAAATGGGAATCAATATCGGCTTTGGGAAAGGCCTGAGCAAAATAATGAGAGTCACTCTAACATGGGCCTAGAATCAACAAGACAGTGGAGGACACATGCTTACATACCCAGCAATCAGAGTGATAAGAAGTTCAGCGACCGAATGTTGACCATGGTACAGCATTTCGACGGATCGTTTAAGAATTTCCCAGAGTTTATCCAGAATTTCAACACGTTCGTCGACAAAACAAACGCATGCGACGACACGAAATTATGTTGCTTCAGAAAATTCCTTGATCCATTCTCAAAAGCTATGATAGCAGGGATGAATAACTATGTGGAAAGTTATCTAAAAATCTGCGACTACTATTCAAATCCATCCCTTATCAAGGAAGAAGTCATTAAGGATCTCAGAAAACTTCCGGACATTCACGATTACCGACAGGTAAAGAAAATGGTGGATAACCTAGCCATTATCAGGACAAAATACAATCAACTGGCATCAATCCCTGAACATCGATCATTTATGGAAAGAGAATTTTTAGGATTGATATCCAGAAAATTCCCCAGGGAAGTATTGGAAAAATCAACACATCTAATTCGACACCCTAACCGTATCCATACTTTCATGACTGATGCTGAGATATTTGTTGACAATTGGCAAGAGGATTTCGCAACACGCGAGGCCGAATATTATTACTCCGAAAGAGTAATGAATCCGGGACCATCGCATCACCAGCCCGAAAGATATCCACATGATCGCCGCAACAACCGAAACTATTTCCACAAC